CTGACGCGATCAGGTGCGGGGCGTCAGGCCGGCGGGCGCGGGGGTCAATCGCGACCGGTCAGAGGGGCGGCAGTTGGCCCGCCGGCGCCCTTTCTGCGCCGCAGGCGGTTTCCCCAGCGACGGCATTCGCCATCGACTGTGCGTGGCGGGGGTGCTGGTCGTGTGGGATATATTTCACGCGCAGCGCCCGCGCCCCTCCAACGGGCCATCGCATATGCGGGCTCGTGACCGGTTGTGTGCATCTTCCCGGTGTGCCGCCACCCGCCCAAGCCGTCGGTAACGCCTCCGTCGCTTCTGTGCCGCAGGGCGGAGGTGGAGGGGAGCCAGAGCGGCAAGCGGACGCGGAAGCGGAAGCGGATTTTCGAGATCGAGCGAAAACCCGCGCGGCGGCGTGTGGGATCCCGGGCGGGATTCCGGTCCGCGGGGGCAGCGCTCTGCCAGGGCGGCGTGTGCGTGGAGTCCTGACCACCGTCCCGTGCCGTTCTTGGCGCCTCGGCATGCGCGCTTGCGCCTCGAATTTGGTGGCCTGCAGTTTATGGGCCGCCAGCGCGGTTGGGGTGTGGGAGGAGCCGAGCGGCCTCAGGTCACCCCGAGTGATTCATAGCGATGGAGTGTGTGTGACGTCGGTGATTGGTTGGAATTGATTTTGGCGTTGGGGATTGAGCGCGGGCGCCAATGTGCGCGCCTGCAGCCAGTCCGCGCCCGCAGCAACGAAAGAGCCGTTTGCGGCAGCGTAGTAGCTATTCAATTCGGGGTGGGGTGGAGCGCGTGCTGGGGAGGAGGCGCAGCGCTTCAATTGTGACAAAATGTACATTGTAACGGAGTTGTTGGTGGGCACTGGCTTGTGTGGGGGTGGAACGACTTGCCTTGGCGTCCGTTCCTTTTCTTCTTGCCTGTGCTGTCATGAACCCAGTGAGCGACGTCCTGATACCTAATGCAGAGTGCGGTTGTACAATGTTGGCAGTATTGTCTCTGGGAGCGCTGGCAGCACAACTGTTGAATACTGCATTTTTTGGCTGCCACCAGCATTCCGACTTTTTTGGTATCCGTGGTTTGTGATGCCAATTAAAGGGGCCCAATACTTGTGAGTGAAACGGCTCTGCGCGACCAAATACATCTTCAAAAGCACGCACTGCAAACCAATTCAGTGAGTTGTTAGCGTGGCGTGCATACTGCTGGACATGCCCAATCACAACTGCTGCACAAGCAGCGAATCACAGCACAACCAGCACCCATTAGTCGGCGTCCACAGCATTTCGCCAAATGTCCGAAATCTCATCAAATATTACAGAAATGCCGGCTCCACAGTGTAGTGACAAGAATCTGATTTTTGGAACACGGCTAAAGATACAAATCGATTAGCGCTGAATATATGAATTCACTCGGTGTCCAACAGCAGCATCACTGCTAACTCTCTTCCATTTTGGCATCGCCTTCCACGCTGTCCACATCCATCGAGGCTGCAGCTCTAGCAGAGTTTGCAAGAGCGTCCTGGTAAGAACTCTTGACATGTTCACAAATCCTTTTCAACTCCAGAGCACCAGCTCTCAGTGCCTGACGAGCACTGATCTCTCCTGCAGTAAGTCAAGCGACATTTTGATGTGGCACAGCTGTGGGCAAGGCACTGGAAAGTTCCATCAATCCGGTACAACCATTCCTTCATGAACACGATGCTCTCCTCAAGCATAACACAGATTCGCACTTCAGCAGTTGATTCTCCTGACCCTTAAGCGTGAAGTGGATGGGCATATACCATAATGAACATCAAAGGTGATGCAGACGCAGGTGGGGTGCAGGAACCCACATGTGATGCTTTTATTCCACATCAGTACATCGTCAGCCGGACTTTGCATCACACAAAGTGAAACCATGCATTCTTCTTCTGATAGGACAGGGAAGGCAGCTAAGCATCAATCACTACTCGGCAATTGCCAATCAAGACAGGGAAGGATGTACTGTAAGAAACAAGTGCTTGCAAGACAGACAACACAATACAGCACACTAGCTGCACACATGCCATGAAGGGCAACTATCAAACTGCAGGTTCGGGTATCCTGTCACACAAGCAGCAAATGGTCGGTTCAGAGCAGTGTGCATGAGCTGCCCTTGCAACTATTTCCGTCACCAAGGTCCATGGTCTGGGAATTGTCATCCCCAATGCCGGCATATTGGTCTGCAATTGTCGGCCACACATGGCCTGTGCAGCCAAATATGGGCAGGTGCCCCCGCGTTTGGGTACCTGTTGTTTGTATACGAAGATTAATGTGGTCCTCACTTGGATGCGGAGCGCTGAACCCACAAAATTCCACATGAGGGCTGCACGGATACACACAACAAGTTTGCACCCTGTGAAATGGCAACTGCTTTTTGGGCATGACGAGATCGGCATTGAAAGCAAAAGTTTGCTTAACGCCCACTAACTTTGAATATCAGTCACAATCATGAGCGCGCAGCCACCGACGCCGGAATTCAAGCCAGCTGCGAAGTTCCTGACAAACAACATGGCCCCCCTGACCAATGTTTGCACAGCAAATGAGCTGCCAAATTCGGAATGTACAGGCATTCGAGCCGTCCTGGCGCGGACACACGGCCTCACTTTCTGTTGATGAGGACTCTGAGGGCATTGGCCAGGGTGTAGTCCTCCCCCACAAGGGTAAACGTCGCACCCCTGCCAGGACCCTGCTGCTGTTGCGCGGGACTCCCCTCCTTGGCATCCCCACCGGACGCCATGGTTCGCGCTCGCCGCCGCCAACTCCAGCCAGCGGGCGTCGGCGAACGCTCGCCAAACTGCTGTTAGTGCCAACGCCCCCACCTTATTCTGCAAAGCAACAAAAACTACGAAAGTACTAAGGTGCTAAGCCTCAAACAGCAATTTTCTCCTGATGTACAACGCATTTTATCACTTCGAGCGGAGGTAAGGGGACTATCGGTGCAGCACCAGCGTCCCTGCACCCGCTGTTTTCGTGGCAGCTCCTCCTGGACCTCGCCGGGGCGTTGCGCCTGCCACCGCCTTCCAGACCAGCCGCTCCTGGATGAGCAAGCGGGACTCCGATCGCGCTTTCAATCGGTTGTTTAATAGCGGCCTCGCCGACGCCACGCGCACCCAGGAACCGCCCGCCCAGAAGGCACAAGAGGCAGAGGGCCAGGCCGACGAGGGCTTGGGCGCCGGCGATCCCGTCGCCTGCATCCTGCAGGCATGGAGACAGAAGGACTACTTCGGGTGCGCCTTGCGGTGGACTGCGCGAACTGGATTGTCTTCCCCCACTTCGCTCAGCCTCAAATCTCTGCGCCAAGATTGCTGCTTTGGCGCGCGCTCACGGACACACGGACGGTGGTGCGACGAACGCGCGGGGGTGGGGGAGCGAAGGGGTCCAACTCGCCCAGCCGGAGCGCCAAAGATTGTCAAATACGACATCTTTTGCCGTTGTCGTCGTGTCTTCGTGCTGCGGACATGGTCGATATGCCCATTGATGCACTTAAGGAGAATGGAGAATGGTCACCAGAACTCTGCGCAAGTGACTCCTTTCCTCTCTTCTGCCCCCGCCGCAGCGTCCTGCAGCTTCCGAGCCCTGGCGTGGACGGCCTGGGCGAGCCAGTTTGGGCCTGCACGCCCCTTGACGTGGACCGCGCCTACCGCCGCGTGTCCCTCTCGGTGCACCCGGACAAGAACAGCACCCCGGGGGCGCGGCAAGCCTTCGAGATCGTCAAGAAGGTGAAGATGATGCTAAAGAGCGAAGGCGACCTTGAGGCAATACTAAAGAAGGCCGCTGAAGTTGCTGGGAGGGAGCGAGAGCGCAGGGAGGCAAGGGCCGGCGTGGATGAGCGCATCGCGCTGAACGCATCTAGGGCATCGGAGCAGAAGAGGCTCAGGCGGGCGCAGGGAGCGCAGTTCCAGGATGAGATACTGAGGCAGGTGCGGGCGAAGCAGCTGAAGGGCAGGCTTAAGAGGGGGAGGGCGGAGGCATCCAGGGGAGAGGGGAAATGGGGGGAAGATGGCAGCCAAGGAGAGGAGTCGGGTGGCAGTGGGGAAGAGGTCAGGGTCGGCCAAGCGCGTGGTTCGGCCCCTGGCCTGGGTGGAGGCGGTCGTGGTGGCCCGCCAAAGAGAAGGAAACCGAGGTTGATCTTTTGATGGTTGTTGCGTTGGTGGGCGGGGAGAAGGGTAGGGACCAGGACTGTTTCATCAGCCAAGCTCAAGCGCCGCTCCTTCTTCAGCGGTAGACTGGTGGGTGCGTCCAGCAGGTTTTGCTTTCCTGGCAGGTATGGCACCCCGCAGACTTGTGCCAGGCCTGCCACACACTCTTCCAGCCTGTAGCGGGTGAGGCATTTGTTCGATAGAGGTGAACAATAATGTGCTCAAGCGAGTTTGAGCAATTCACCTCCGTCCAGGGTGATGCATGGCGCCACCAGGCGGCAGTGAAGAGTCACTTTGAAACATGGGGCGCCAGCATCCAAGCCATGCAGCAGTTGACATGCACCCATGCACTCCATGCTTCACCTGTTGACTGTGACCAGCCGATGCTACAGTTGCTGAAGGCCACAAACCTTCACAAGCATGGCCTTTACTAACATTGGTCCTCACAAACTTTGTTGAAGTTTGGCCAAGCATAAATCCAAGCATATATCTACAGGCTGGTGCCAGGCAAATTGCTTCTTTATGATATTGCCCTGCAGCGTAGGAGTCCATGGCACAACTGCTTTAAAGTACTCGAGCTCATTGTGCATTATTGCACACATGGTAATGTTGATGAATTCCTTAATTGCATAGCGTTCACTCAACCCAAACCCGATCCCAGCAGCATAAACATGATGTCAACAGCCTGTGCCACCTTTTGGCGATGTAGGTCAGAAGCAAAATAAAGAGATGTCTGTGTAGAGAGTGATTCATGTACAGAGGTGGCTGCTGACTGGCAGCAATGGAGTTGTACTGCACACATGGTAGGGAAAGACTGAAACAAATGATGCCTCTTGCAATGCATCTGGTCTCAATAGGCATCTTCTCTGACTTGGCTCTTGCCACAAAGCTGCTTCATGTATGGATGCTCTGTACAGCATCCTGTTGAGTGCTGACATTGGAGTATTATCCACAGTAGCCTGCAAACCAGTCCTGCTCAGGCTTCATCACATGCAGGACCGGCTGAAACCAACTATTGTGGTTCTGGCAGCGTGCTTGCATGACCAAGTGAAAGGCAGCGATGATGGCATAGCCAGTGTGTTTGCTAGGCGCGCCGTCCAAACACAGGAACAAAAGTCAGTAATGCATGCCGTAGCAAGATGAAATCTCACATCGTTTTCGCAGTTTGGCGGGCTCCACATTCTGCATGGTCGTCTGCCGATGCAAGCACCAAAGGTCTGAGGCTCAACGGGCTTTGTCAGCTGCTGAGCACTAAAGAGACCTTCGATGCCGGTGGGATGCCAGAATCATAGCCGCCCAGGAACGCCGATGAGTCGTTCATCTGTTGTCCTTGCCTGGGCACGCTCTCATTGGCGATCCCAGGGCGCCGCTGAGCTGCCCAAGCAGTGTCGCTTGTTGGACTTAATGATGGGCAACACATAGCGGTCGGGCTGCTGTCAAGGGAAATATGTTTTCAGCTACCCAGGGCCAGACAGTAAGCTCACAGGTTTTCCGTAATCATGCGACCGTGAAGGGCAACGATTGAATGGCGGGCTCGTTATCTTGGAAATACGAGACCAGATCCGCACATCCTCCAGAGAGGCTCTGCTGCATGACTTCTGGTATGTTCTTCCGTACTTTGCGCGACGACTTCGAAGCATTGGGGTAAATTGACATGCACGCGGTACCAACGGCGACTTTGTGGTATCGTATGCAATTTGAAGATCCACTGTGCCCAGACCCTTTTTCCCTGCTCATCCAACAGGAGCAACAGCCAACTTCTGAGGGGCAGGAGCGTTCATGCAGAGACATTCCAAACGTAGTGGCACGTGCGCTGCGCAAGTTGTGATGCTGACAACAGCAACGCTGTGTGCCCAGCTGCAGGGCGCAATTATATAGAATCCCCCTTTCCACAAATGCAACAGTCGATTCTGCCTCGGCAAAGACCCCCGAGGCAATGCACGTAGCACCCGGGGGTCGTGATCGCCAAGGAATGGCGGCTTCACTCTCGAATCCAACGCATGACGCACTGGAACATCCCCTCCTTCCACTCCCAGTGCCATACATTAGCGGCAGGCCAGAGACCGCAAGCCCCGACTAACCCAGCATTGGTGGCGCACGCACCAACAACATCACACAAGCACAAGCACATGCCGGTTCTGCTAATGTCGTGATGATAGTGTCCCACTTCAAGACTACCCCCACAGTACTGTCGATGGCACTACACAAAGCAGCAATTGCATTGTTTACGACATTCATCAGCGTGTTGCCGCGAGGCCAAGGCAAGGAGGTGGGCGTCAGTATCCTATCTCACCCAGGCGAAGCAGTGTCCATGATTTGCTATGTAAAATGATGGTGATGATGATCTGCTCATTGGAGCCAATGCATAACACAAGCAAAGCCAAGAAATCCGTCAATTCCTGTTCTCAAGAAGCGCTTGGCGCGCATCCGCGCCGCTGACGAGCGCCGCCCCTGTGTCCAGCACAGCAACTTCCCCAGGCGGCTTCCCCGCCGTCGACACAGGCCTATTAGTCAGCTTCCCAGCCTTCGGATCCCTTGAGGCGACGACCGGGTCGCCTTTACGGGATGACCGCGGCGACGGCGCCTCAGGTGCCGCCGCCCGTGCTGGAGGACGCGGTGACGCGGTGCAAGACCATCGTCTACAAGAACCGCATACGCCTGAAGGAGTTCTTCGTAGATTTCGACAAGCTGCGGTGCGGTCAGGTGCGCCCAGGTTTTGAATTAAGCAATGGGCAAATGTGGCGCTGCCAGCGTTGTTGAAGCGCAGTAGCAGTGGTGCAGCTGTGCCCGTGGCTGCTTCTTGCCACCCACCGATTGGCAACTTCCCTGTGTTCTGACCACTTGCGATCCACGCCTTGCACATGAAAAGGAGCTCAACTCTTGTTCCTCACACAGATGGCTGCTAGCATAAATGCTGCTTGGAGGAGCTGCCCTTTCTTGGCATGCCCTTTTCTAGCCTACAATCGCCACTAAGGTATTGACACAGAGTTTTGTCTGCTTGGCACATTGTATTTAGTAGATTGCCGTAATATACCCCTTTTATATTGTCATCATCAAATTATTTTCATTGCATTTGTCATACAATGATGGAGCACAGCTCTTACCTCCGATAGGCGACGACAGGTGTTCAGACCAAGCCAATATTGTTCGGAGATGCTTTTTAATGCTCCCATGCTCACGAAATCCCAGAATCACCGAAAAAACAAGGCAAGACAAGAAGTGATGCCTTAGAAGCCCCTATCACATCCACGCTCGCACAGTCCTCAGCTCCTTTCAAAGGACTCACAAACAATGGATGTCTTTCAAACCACTTTCGGATGAAAATTACACGAAAGTTTATGCCCAGATATCCCTCGTGTGGGAAGCACACAAATGCATTTATTTCACGAAGTATTGATGACTTGTGTTGTGTCTAAATCGCTGGCCAGGTGCGGTCCAACCACTTTGTGACGGCCATGAGCATTGCCGGTCTGGATCGGTACATGAGTCCCGAAGAGATCCTGGTGCTGAGTGAGGGCTACAAAGTGGAAGACGGCGCGCCACCGGACCTCGTGGAGTACAGGAAGTGGGTGAACTGGAAAAACAAAACACTGTTGCACGCGTTTTTGCTAGCAAGAAAAGGCTCGATATAGGTTGGCATCAAGCCCAGAGAGTCCAATGTACTTACGCAGATTGGATCGGAAAGAGCAAGACTGTAAAAGGCTTACACAGTGTCCCGCGATCACCAATGCAACGTCAAATGCTGGCTTTGCATGGCTTCTCCAGCTGAGGTGGCGATGGTTTCTCTCGACGTAAGCGGTAATACAAAGATAAAAGAGGAAGCTTCGCCAGCCATGCTGCAGTATTCTTTTGTTTTTTGTGAAACTACGTCAAGTGTCCACGTGTGTGTGCTGCATTGGCATCGTTAAATTCGCTCAGAGAGAGGCGGGGACTGCGCTCTTCAAATTGTTGTTTTTGAAAGTGTGACCACCCTCAAGATGCCGCCGGTATCCGTTCAAAATACTGATGGAGGCCAGGCGAATATGTGATGCCCCTGTGGCACTTGCGGAAAGCACAGGTATCCCATAGGCAGCTGTGGTCTTTTAGTCGTCGCTCTCCCCAAGACATTCAAGGCGCTAGCTCTTATTCTCTTAACTTCTCTTTGAAAGACAAAGCGGCTCCTTTGTGCGTCGTAGGCAATGGCGAGGGAGTGCACATCTCAGGACTGTGTTTTGCCCTGCATCAGTTCATTTTATTCGCTCGCCACCCACGTGATCAAACGTTGCCACAACAGTCCAGTTGATGGCGGTGCAGCGCACGTGCATACGGGCGCACACGTATATGAGCGCACACGTGTTTATCTTGTTTCGACGTGTGCTTGGAAATTTACTGGAAATTTCTCGCATATCAGAAAGGTGCGCTTCGAAAGGCGGAAAACACGAGCTGCAGATGCGATGGGCGCAAATGGCATTGGAAGTCCCCACTCACGTGCGAGCTTGAAGTCTAAAGGTGGCAGCGCACAACAGCGCACAATTTGGACATTCTCCAACACACCCGTTTATTATGATGGAGGCTTCCAACTGTTAAAAAACTGGGACAAAGTAAAGTGTGGAACGGTTTGCTCCTTTCGGTTCGCGAGTTAATGTGCAGGCCATTGCGTGCGCTGCTCCCCAGGTTCGTCGAAGATGTGGACCGGGTATTCACATTGAAGGTATGGAAGGTCGTCCACGTGACGCATCACGTTTAAATTTAACGCGGCGGCACTGTGTCATGAGGCTCACTGAAGCGCATTGCGCATGCCCGCAACTCACAGGTGCCTTGCTGGGGCACGGCAGCCTTGCGCCGAAGACAAGCAATCTCCAGGGAAGCACCACCACTTGGTTACCAATTCAAGCCAATTTCCATGGCGTGGAGCAAAGGCCTCATGTATCTTTCTCGGCAAACAAGCTGCCATGGAAGAATAGACACAAATGCACATCCTCGGCGCCTCCTCAAAAGTTGGATAGCGGGTGGCAGTCATTTCACCCCGAACGCCTACACCAATTCACTCATCAGCATCATTTTTACAGAACAAGGCAAGGAGGTGGCCGTGAGCTTCCTGTTTCTCCCGAGCACAGCAGTGCCCATGATCAGTCACTGATGATAATGACGATGATGGTGATGTTTATGATGTACGATAATGATGTCCATGATCAGTTCATACAAGGCGTTTGCCACAGGGGCTGGAGACAGATCCGCTGAAGGAGGTGCCCGCCGAGCCGCTGCACCTCCTGGACAAGCAGCGCTACCAACGGTCCGCCCGGCGCCTCGAAGGGGACAAGGACTGTGGCGTGGAAGACGTCCTGTTCCGCGTGTCGGACATCGTGCGCAAACGGGGCGTCCTGGTCAAGCCCATGTTCGACGACGCGGCCGCCGACAACCACAGCAGCAAGGTGGTGGGTCACGTGACGCGTAACCAGTTCGCGCAGTGCCTGAACGTCAAGCTCAACCTGGAGCTGGAGCCGGAGGAGGTGGACCTGCTGGCGGAGAAGTTTGGGCAGAGCGACTACCCGGAGATGGTGAACTACGTGGCCTTTGCGAACACCGTGGATCCCAGGGAGGAGCCCTTCGATCCGTACAAGCTGAGGTGACGCATTCAGGCGGGCGTGGCAGTATACCGCCCGCTGATGCCGCAAGGGCTGGAAATGTGGTCCCATCAAACGTGTAGCTAGCAAGGGCGCACGTGAGCGCGCGTCGACGGCCCGCATAAACGGCGCATCGGGCTGATTAGTGGCAGGCAGGCTTGTTTTTTGCGTTTTGCGTCCAGTTTTACGTCAAGGTTTTGCGGGCTCTAAGGCACAAGTGGCAAAGGACGGCCGTATTAGCGCCCGCGTTTATGTGTATTCTCTCTGGGCCAACGCAGCTCTGTTGCTCATTGTCACCGACAATTGGTCGCCTCGCCGCCTACATGATGAGCGTCCCAAGCACGTTGTCACGTGCCATCGCAAAGGGAGACGACGTCTCGAAGAACTGCGAGCTCCACTCACTGCAACGCGTCCCGTTGCAACTCCACTCTACTTCACTGCATTTTGCCGCATTTCTTTAACGCTTTAAGCAAGGGGCTATGTTAGTCCAAGAATAAGAATGCTAGAATTGAACAATGGGATAATTTCCCTCAAGAGTAAGTACGTTGGGTGGAAAATTACCATATGTTGCGATCACTCGCCAGACACCAGGGTCAGGCGTCTGGACACCTGAACGTGGGGTAAAAGGCAGTGCACTCAGGGGCTGGCCTGAAGGCGCTGGAGTTGTCCATGATCGTCGCGTTTGACAGGCAAATCTGCCGCGCACTGTGCAGTGTTGCCCTCTTCGAAGAGGGACAGAAGAGTTCATCTGTATAATCCACCTCCTGCTGCTGCTGCTGCATCTACAGATCCCCAATCTAGCAGAACAAAGACACGATTTGGCGAATCAAAAGTACGTCCTCTTTTAGAGAGAACAACCTGGATTGACAATTGGGACATGTTTCGCTCCATGTCTCTTCGCACCCACATGGTTAAGCAGCCGACAGGCTCACAGGTTCTTTGTAGCAGTGGGGTCTGGCATGCATGCTCCTTAAGGCATCCGGCTGGCAAACGCAGGATAAATATGAACAATCTTGAGTGTGACCAGTCGTAACGAATGATCGCAGTCACCACACTAACATGGCTTTGTGTCACTAAAGAAGAGAAGTTCTTCTAAGAATCTGAAGTGCAGGCCCATCAAGTCTATCCCTCCCTCATGAAAATAATGATGCGTACCAACGTTTCTGAAGCAGTCGAAGCAGATGGCCATGGCACAAATTAAAGAACGCGGCCAGCTCAGCAATGCTCTTTTACCCCATGATTTGTCTACAAGCCTACAGATGCGGGGTTCCGCACTGTGGAACTGTGCTCAAATCCCACCAACCACGATTGATAACCTTTCATCCAGTCTCCACAACGACAACACTTTCTGTGAAACACAACACCGGGCACAGCGCGTAAGGATGGGATGCTGCACAGTGCGCAATGTGCGCCCTTTCACTCATGGACCCCACTGTCCGGCAGTCGTTGGAGGCGAACAACCTCAGAGCGTGGGTCAAATGCTCCTGTGCTCACCCGTGGGAGAAAAGCTGCATAACCTTGGATGCGTATATCCAGGATGTGGCCTTGTCCTGAATATGGACGCTCCACAACCAGGACGTGCAGATTCAGAAATGGCCATACCCACCACATGGACGCCCATATCCTGGATGTGGCCATATCCTGCACCATATCCAGGATATGCAGGCCCCACGTCCTACTCAATGTCCAGGATGTGCGACTTTTTGCCGACGAAGCCCGCAGGAAAGGTGGAAGTATGCGTGATAGGCTGGCATGGATGTGCAAAGAACCGTGCCACAGCACCTGCACCAGCCCTGGCGCGCAGCATATTACACTCTGCCGCCACACCGAGTGCCGGCACCTAAGGACATTGCCGCGCATGTCAAAGGCTGGGACTTAACAATAATTGCCAATTATACAGCGGACGGATCGCCACCAGGCCTAGGCTACAGAGCCACCACCAGCGTCGAACAACTACGAGCCGGCGTGTCGGCTCCCTGAACAGCGGAAACGTTGAAGCATGCACCTAGAGCGCAGTCACTGCGAATGGGGGCAGTGAGGAGTATCAATCACACTATTGAGTGCATAAACCAATACAATGAAGCGTGCGTGCCCGCAGTCTCCGCCCCAGGCTCTGCTCCAAGAGCACACACAAACGCCCAATGCCCTTGCCGTCATCTCGCCACTGTGCTCCCAGCCACATCAGAGAACATGCAGAGAGCTCAGCCCTGTCAGCTCCCCAGCACGTTGCCTGTGAGCATCATCATGCTTGTGGGTCTTGCCAGATGTGGCCAGCAGCAAGCCCTGTGTGTATCCACGATGGGACTGTCAGGCCTCGAATTTTCCTTTTTTTTCCAAATTGTTGGCATCCACACTCACGAGGGCAGTCCCGGCAGGCGTCAAGGGTGCCAGGTCTGGTGTCATCCTGAGCACAGATGACCCATGGTAAAGTTAGGCAGATTCGCTGGCTTGGGACAACCCTGCAGACTTGCAAACTCTCAATCTGCATCTGTGCGGTTGATGTCCCTTGTCGCTTTGGCACACGGCAGTTGATTAGGAAGGTCCTGAAAAGGTTATGATCCAAAGCGAACGAACAAAATGAGCGAACAACCGGGGAAGTAGTACTCGTGCATGCCGTTGCGTAGAGGCACCCACCACCAGCGGACCACGAAAATAGTGCGAATCTGCTGCAGAATAGCCTTTGGACAAACAGAAACAAAGCCGTCCTCGTTTCTTAAAGGTTGGGTGTGAGTACCGAGAGCTACACATGCCTGCTCGCCCTGGTTTTGATGGTGGCTGCAAATGCACAATGACTCCATCTTTCTCCAAGTCTGTTCCACAGCTCCGCCAGGCACACGACAACACTCTTTCTGACGCCCAGGGGCTGTTGTATGCTGCGAGGAGCCCATGCAGGACCTCGCTGCGCAGGCTTTCAAGACTGCAAAGTCGCCGCTTCGTCTTAGCACTCTGGTCAAGTTGCACACAATGCCGCACACAACCGCGTTAGTTGAATTGTGGCCAGGTTGGCTTCGGTTCCAGACACCAGGGTACTGCTCAGAGTGTCGACAATGGGGGCAGGGTCCACACCATGGCACAGCTCATCCATGACTTGATCGGCCGCCATGCAGACCTGCCAACGGATTCACAGCAACTACGTCAGTTATATACTGCTCCTGCAGCCAAAAACTCAGGGAATAGAAGTGGTGAAATGGATTGCGTTGAGCTATCAACAACCGCTTACTGAGAACTGGCTAAGCTCTTCAATGGCACCGTGCACTGTATTAGGGGCCATGGAGACGTAGAAAATGTGCTGTAGCAAGCTGGACTCTGGTAAAGAGATACAGCAAGCACTTGTTCAGCTAGAAATATCCAACTGCACCACCAAATCAGCAGGGAAACAGCCCTGGAAGCCAATTCCGATGGAAGCAATAGCAGTGGGCGCTGCTGCTGCTAACACCACTGCCATCACCATCATCTGACCCCCAAACAAACTGTAAGCACCGAATCATGATGCAGAATATGACAAAAAGAAGTTAACACAAAGCAATGCTGTGCGAAACTGCTGTACTCTGAAAAGAGGAACCTGTTCCTATCCCTCTTCCTAGCGCTACCTTGGGTGGGAGAAAATTAGGCAAAAGCAGTGGGGCGAATCCCAAACAAATCGAGCCCTGCGCGGTGCGCAGCATGAGCTTCACACCTTCAAAGTCATTCAGAGCGCAGTGGAGTTGATGGCACATTGCAGCAACAAAGCGGGCACCTTGCCAATCCGTCACTGTCGCTGTGGCACTCCAACACATGCAGAACGATCTCCTGGGTCAATGACAGTTGAAGAAGGGGGGCTTGGTAAACAACCAGCTCCTGCAGGGTGACAAGCATTTGCTCCCCCAGCGATTCGACCTGGCTCACCAGAGGGCTCAGGAGTGACAACACAACCTGCAAAACGAATCAAGGAGACAAACTGAAGGCTATGTCTAAAACGTGGGCATTCAAGCAGCTCCGATGCCATTGCAGCAGCACCAAGACACTGATCATGTCCCTTTTGCTGGATTCCAAAATGTTGCACAACTTTACAAGACACTGATCTAACACTTGTTGTCAATCAGAGAAAAGGTGTATGGACAGTGTAAAATTGTGCTAGTCTAAGTCCAGATGCTGATACTCCCATGCATCGGTAGGCAGCAATGGCAGTGAACCAAGTGGAATGTGACAGGGACCGGCATTTGGGTATGTCAAGAGACAAAGACTTGACAATTGGCCTACAGTTAACAGTGAGTTGTCATATGACAATGCAATTGACAGTTATATGAAAGATGGAGTTGTCACCCAAGCAGTGGGGGGCCGACAGCCACAAGCAGCAGCCACCAAAGGAATTGACAAAACGTCTGCAGAACACCCTTTGCATGTGCATGGTCAAGTCCTAACAGATGTCGCCAATGAGATCATGCACCCCTGTGGGCCACACCTGTGCAGGATTCTCAGCCCAGATCTGCTTGTCCAGGTTCTGTGCACACTGTCCAAGGCCCTGCACCGTGGTCACAGATTGAGCAGTCTGCAGCCCATGCACCAGGATTTGGAATGTTCCCGCTGGTCGTTATGGCTACTTGCTTTCTTCAGCACATGGCTGACATGTGAGGCATCAGGCACACTGCAGTCCTCTCCTCTCTGGGGTCTTACATGTTCAGAGATCAATTTCGCAGAAGATCGACATGCAGTGTGTCCTTCGTCGGTGGGCAGTCCTGGAGCTGACATGGGCATCTTGGTATCAGTATGTGCAGCAATGGTGCCTGCTACACCAAGGCCATCCAAATTGTTGCAGCAGAAAGTTTTCAGCGTCCTGAATTTCTGCCAGTGTTCAGGATACGGAGTTATTTTGTGAATTTAGGGAGCGTTTTTTTGCTGTGAAGCAAACCTCTGGAGATCATAGAGTCAGTGGACAGCATGTGTCCTGTGCCATGCTGACACCCACAAGAGGCCACACACTGGAACACCCCCTTCAAGCATGCACATCAGGCTCTTATACTGTATTGGAATAAGTGCCAGCTCTGGAATCCACAATCAGCATTGTTCACTCTGCCACCAGTGCTCATCCTGCACGAAATGTGGCTGTCTTCCAATACCTACCGAAATGGTGGTAAGCCACCAGCTCCATGCACTGTCCTTGACATCTCCGCGCCAGGTATGGCCTTGACCCCCGCAGGTGCAGGATCACAGGGGTACCCTGCATCAGCACCAGCGACTTCAGCAGCACTTTCTCCTCTGCTGGCCCTGTCAGCATCCCAAGTCGCTTCTGGCATTGCAGTGTCCTGCTTGGACACATGATATTCCAGCCAGTTGGTGTGCCCTGTGGCTCGCTCCATCCATGCAGACAAGGCAGACTACCCATACAGTGATTCATCGCCTTGCAGAATGCTCCCCCATTGTCTGCCCCACGTGGCCTTAAGACCTCCAGCCTTAAAACCAGCCTTAAGACCTCCTGGACACTCCAGGCTTGGGTGCGGCTACCTTGCAGCTCCCGCAAAGAGTTCTGGAAGCACTGGCATCAGCACTCTGTGTGTAATGTGCTGCAAGGCAACGGCAACCCGATCGCCGTGAGAGAAACTAACAGAAAGGGTCTGCTGCGACAATGCACCGAACAATGTGCCTGACAAGATATACGCAGCAATGCCACACTATGGTGGCTGATGCGATATCTTGTGCTAACTCTGGATAGGGGGCCTTCTCAACATGGTGTACTGCACCTTGATGAACAGGGCACACACAGGAAGCACCACGACAATTGACAGCACTTATGCTTCCCGTTGATGCAAAGTGGTCCAGCGCAGCCGGAACTAATTTTGGCTTTCCACATATTGGTGTTGCGCCTTTGATCCAATGCAAATCATCCCTACTAATGGCCAAAACATGCATTTGTCTATAAATCGGCTTGTGCCAAGCACCCTGGACACCACACTTTGAATGCGTGCAGACTGCTTAGTGCGTTGAAGATTTGTTTTCCCTTTAATAGGTGCCTTGATCATCTACAGCTGCTGCCATTGTACACGTCTGCACAATCTGCACAGCAAGGACTTGTTTTGGCACTGGGCAGTTGAACGTACTGCTGTCATGTAGGATGTACTGCATATATGACACATCTGCTGTAGGAAATAGACAGGCCCTTTCCATCACAAGGAAATCTGGCCGATGTCTGTTCACTCCTTGCATCAGCCAGCACTCAAACTGGAAAGAAAACCTAAAGTGGGGTGACCAGCAAATAAGCCATAAATGTGCTAACATGTTTTCATGCAGTTTCTAATCCCAATCTTGCAGCTTGTGCAAGCCTTCTCTGAACTTAACATGCTTTGATTCGAGAGCGACACACCAAGTTCGAGATTCCTCATATGCAGTGAGCAGCTTCTCACACACCTTTGAGCACCTTGTGTGATGCTTGCCTGGTCATCTCCTTCTGGTCAACGAATTTTTGGAAAAGAGGAGGCATCAGCCGGTCCATGTGCATCGAGAGTGCCCAAGCATTTGCGCCAATCGCCATTCCCAATGCGACAATGGCAGATTGGACAACTTTCCAGTGGGGGTCTTCGAAATACTACCTTTCAACAAAAATACTACCTTTCCTGAATTGGAGATATCTGACACCATACGGGGTGTCAGCAAGATATCAGTTAGGGAATCGATGAGGAACACCTGCAACAAGGCCACGAGTGCAAGAGTTCAGCGTTCAGAGCTGCGATACATTTAAGAAACTGAAAATACAACACTGCATGCTGCAGCGCACTCTCCCAACAAAAGTGCCGCATAGCACCACAGCACAAGTCAACAATGTCAAAGTGAAACTGAGAGCACTGAAACAAAATGTGCGTGCTGTGCATTGTCAATAGTGATACCTTCGAGTTGAAAGAGTGCAAGCACAAGTGCAATTGCATCTGACAAGCAGAGGGGAACCACTTTGACTAAATCTTACTCCATTCCACGCTGAGAGTGCAACCTCCCACTCCCACTCTTTAGAAAATGCCCACGGGGAGGCACAGCATGTGCAAGCAGATGCGCACATTGCGTCCCTGAAATTTCCTATTAGAGCAAAATTTGGGCGTTACAATCCACTGGCAAGCAATCAAAGGGGAATTCCATTGGTTTGGAAATGTGCAGGTGTCTACACCTTCGCTGCCCAGTCCCTTGGGCAAGAACACTCCTTCAGAATTTGATGTACAGTCAAGCTGCTCAAGGCGTTGCCACCGCCAATATCCATTCCATGTTGACTTGGGCCATCATTCCACGCTGGCTTGGCTTCCATGGATCGCGGGGTTGAACTGCCTGAGGGAGGCCTTCCAGATGCAGGCACTGGAAAGCTGGTAGCAACAGCAGTTTTCCTTCTGTGACTGGGTGCCATAAAGCAACCAAAACCTGTGCACAGACCACCACAGTACCTCAAGCACAGCCATGGGTAGATGAAGACGGACCATCCTTGTGAACCAAATGTGCTAGAATACAAGACCCTAGCCTTGCATTTGGAGGCCATGATGGGCAAAGTTTCAGAGAAACATTCTATTGGCCACAGTAGTCGTCAGAGCAGTGCATAGATGAAGCCCCAATCCCTGATGGTGATGATAAGACTAAGCCAAGACATGAGGACAGCCATGTCTGTAAAACTGCACATTTTCTCTCACAATTACGTCCTTCGTGTTATCTCACAAATGTGCCCTTGAAAACTGTTGTTCTTTCAACACTTCAAGGGCAGGTCTTTGTATATTTGGGTATGGGCTGCCTCATGTGAAACTTGCACAATCATTTCTGGGGTTTAGTGCTCAGGGCATGACAAAGTACTGCCCTTTCCTGTGTGGGGTGGTGTCAGGTGTGTGTGCAGGTGTTTGAATAGTGACCATGGGCAGGCATATCGAACCTGATGATGTGCAATTGTTTGCATCCAGTGTCCTTTTGTGTTCTCTCTCCAGCATCACCCGCACCACCTCTTCAAGGTTGTGAACTTTGGCAGGCAGTCCTGGCTCTTTCAAGTTTAGGACACCACCCTGATGTGCAGGAGCAATGGCAAGTTTGAGAGGTTACAATACCAGCGACACCAAAACAGAGCATGGAGATAGTTGGATTGTGTAAACAGCACCATCAAATCACTATGTGGTGAACTGACTTCAACGTGAAGCAATTGTTCCCTTCTGACACAGGCAGGGGCGGCAGCACAAACCATGTAGAATTGGCTCCTATCAGTGTTTTGACACCAATGGGAAGAGTCTCATTGTAGGGATCGAGCAAGGCAGATTCTCAGCAAGGCGCTTCTATAACTTTGCCGCATTGTTTGTCCATCATCAGGACTTCAATTTCAGTAAAATTAGTGCAAGGTTGTGTCCAAGAGTTGGGAGTATACTGTCAAGAATTAATTGAATCTGTTAGGTATTGTGGAATTGGCAGCACCTTGTAGCAAGGGTCCTCTGCCTTGTGAACCTGGAACTTTCGCTCAAAAACGGCCAAAATCTACTTCTCGTCCAACCCTCAAAGGGGATGGTGCTGACATGGTATTCTTGAAAACTGGCAGTTGAGGGTTTTGATACCTGATCTTCCGATTCTGACCTACAGCAGTAATTTTGAGGCTGTTCTTTTAACGACATTTGTCTTTCAAATAGGGGCCAATCAATACGAAACATAGGAAGTATGACTGTTGCCCCCTTCTTGACAATAATTTCTTCAGATCTCGGCATGACTGAATGCTGCTACCTTGGGGCGGGTTTGGCCAATGCATGCAAGGTTTCCTTCCCAGACAGTCAGGGCACAACACAATTTTGAGTGGAAATGGTGGCAGTCTGGACTCAAGACTTACCACTGACAGCAGCAATTGTATTGAATATGGCTTCAATCTATTCTTCACACCAGCAGCCCCTTTGATGAGGGCCTCCAGACCAGCTCGGCAAGTCTGCCAATACCATGCAACTAGACATTCTGTCAGTACATATCCCCTTACGAACGAAAGTCAAATCATTTGATTACATTGACCACATTTCTGCACTTGCACGTGGAAGGAAGGGTGACCTGAGCATTGCCAGCAGAGGAACCAGAGGTTATTCTGCTGCGTGCATCAAATGTTGGGCAAATTGTGTCCTATGTCTGAGCTGCCTAGCATTTCTTGCCACCAGGCCAGTATTAACAACTCTCTCCAACACGCCTGTATGTTTCTATCATGCAACACAGTTGTGATGGCGTATGCATATTCTGACAACTGCTCATTGGACAGAGCTGTTGTGGAAATGTACTTCTGCGCAACACGATGACAACGAGCTTCAACTAAGCACATTCACAGGCAAGCAAATCGCACTGGCAGTTATGCAGCCTTGAGCACATGAACAAGAGTGGGGCCAAGCCCATTCATACCAGCAACGAAGAAAACTGTTGTCTGGTTGTCTGGAAAACTGGTTGTCTGCCAAATTTCTGTCTCATTTCCAATGGTTCTGCAAGCCCCTCCTTTCTTTGTCAGGACCTCCAGATTTCCTCTTGACTGTAGCATTAAATACCACTCTGATATTCTATATTCCGAGTGCATATGTTCTGCAGGGTGTGGTGCACACCCATGGATGATCAAATTGAGTAGTACGTACCCGCACAGTCGTCAGTGCCAGCAGCTGGTCTTGCACAACAGCTTTTATGTTGTTGACAAAGAATGTTACCAGCCACAAGGGTCGCCGCCGTACACAAGAAATGCACAAGAAATGCGACAAGTTCACCGTGAACATGAACTTAAGGGAAGGGTATAATATTTGTCAGCATGACGTCCACGTTCGTGCTGGTGGCAACCTGCATTACCTGCTCTCGTGATCAAGCACATCGTGATCAACTGGAGGAAAGCGCCAAGGTGGTCAAGATTGCTTCTCTTGAAGAAAAGAAGACATGACGCTCAGGTGGTGCTGGACGCCGTTCGAAGTGTGCTACACGCCAAGCACGACCGGGGCCATGCCAACTAACTGCCATCACAACGCTAAGCTCTAAGACACTGCGCCCCCACGACTGCGTCGTGATGAAGCCAACTTGCGCCCTTCCCACGGTTTTACAGCGTGATAAGTAACGGTGGGCTCTCAGCGGGGGTGAATAAGGCAGTGCAGGTGGTGGAATCGCACCTACAAAGCGGCATTGCCCTGAAGCTTGGTGCCCTGCTCCCCCAGCAATACCACCACGTTTTTCCACTCCATGGCGGCGCCGTTCGTCCCTCCAAGACGGCTTGGCGAGAGCGTCTGGGCTGGGTGCGCCCACGAGGCGGGAACTCCATCGACAATCGCTGCTAATAGTTGGCATGTCGACTCCCCTCAACTACTCCAGCGATGTGAGGGTGTTCTAACCAGAACTGATTGAGCATTATTAATAGCTGCAATGGAGGCAGGCAGGACCGAGGGGTGATATATACCCCCTGGCTGGGGATCATAGGCGCGAGTCCACGGCAAAGGCCTAAAGCCTAGCAAAGGGACAGCAGGAATTCTGTCCCTTATATCCAGTCCGTTCATCAGTGTCCTGAGTGCAATTCCTAGTGCCTCATCATCTCTTTATGCGTCCAGCTATTCGTTATGCTCAATCAATTCTAGTTACAACAGCTGGAGCCATTAAGAGGTGATGAGGCAATATGAACTGCATTAACGACGTTGATGAACGGACTGGGTATAAGGGACAGAAATCCTGTTGTCCCCTTGCTCCGCAGTAGACCGTTGCCGTGTACTTGAGCCCACGTTCCACATTCAGGGACCGCCACCCCTCGGCCCCGCCTGCCTTCGTCAAGGGCATGGACGAAAGTGGACTTCTACCCGTTTTCCCGTTATACAAAAGTGGAGTCGCGGTGACGGTTTTGGTGCGCACAACGCCAAAATATTGCTTTTGTTGAAGTAGTGACGAAGGCAGGCAGGATCGAGGGGTGGCGATCCCTGAACGGGAATTGTACGCTCGAGTCCACGGCAACGGTTTACAGCCGAGGCAAAAGGACAAGAGACGTTCCGTCCTTTATACTCAGTCTGTTCATCAACATCTTTAATGCAATTCCTGGCGCTTCGTCATCTTTTCATGCATTCAGTTACTAATAACACCCAATCCTATTCTAGCTATAACATTAGCTTACAACTAAGGAGCCCCGTGTATACCTCCCCATCATGTCCATGCTGGCATGAACCAGCAACATTACCTGATTATGGATTAGATTTTGATCAAAATGGGGAAGACTACAACATCCCCTAAGTTGCATTTCCTGTGAATGGGCACGGGGCATTGGACTGCATTCGGACATGGGTTGTTGATGTTAGGAGTTCACCAATTGCGTGACGCGACATTTGAGCACAAAGACGCGTCTCCGTACGGAGGGCAGCGCCTTGTGGGGAGTGCGCAAATGTCTTCAAGGACGCAGCTAGCAGTGCAGCTATTATAGAGGATAGGGAAGTCAGGTATTTGATGTGGTGACAACCGATGGCGGCAGCTCTGGATGCCGTCAATGGAGACATTTTGGGAGCCTCTGTGGAGTTTGAGATTTGAGGGTGGTTTGGAGCAAGTCATGATTTATTGGTCGCTAATCAAAGGCAATTTGAGCATCCTCCTGGCTCCTGCCGATTTGTAGCAACCACGTAATTTCTTAGCATCGCAGGTCAAGCTCCGCCCAGTGGTGTCAATTTCACGTTACTACTAGCAGTAAAATCAAACTGGCGCTACGGGGCAGGGACGGAGCTGCGACTCAAGGAAATGAAGTGTCGATTTCGGTACACTGTGTGCCAAGAGCTACATAATGTGCTCCCAAAATGCGTGCATGTGCGGACTCATATGGAAGCATGCCTCCATATACACATGCACGTGTACTATAACGGGCAAAAATTGTATGGAGATATAAAACCATGTAAGAGGCCTAAATACAATCAAGGAAGACTTCACATTTCCATGCGCAACGGATGAAGAATAAACTCAGTTGAGCAATTGACATGCCATTACCCCAAACCCATAGTTAATAGGAATGGCATAAAGTGGCAAACTGCAAGATTGATATTTTGTGCGTTATGTTCAAGGAATGTGCCATCGTAGTGACCGGTCCCAGCGTTCTGGCGTTGATTGATACTGGCAGTTCCATCCTGATGTCCGGCATCCCGACTCGATGCAGCTCATGCTTTGGTCACGTGGTGCTGCGGCATGTTTCAAACATTCAGTTCGCATGTGTAACAGCGTCTGTGTTCCACAGTGGCATTTTTGTTATTTACGTGGACTCTATAGAACGAATATGGTAGTTGGGCGGCACCGTTGCATTCAGGGACAGTGTGTCCTCCCTGCATATCACTAATTTGTTTAGGACATGCTGGATACGCGGCCCATTGGCCCTAATGGCGTGCAATACCATTCACAAGTTTGCAGCAGACTTTCTAAATGTTTGTGGTAAACGATTTCCGTACATGACGAAAGAATGCGCAATCGAACATCTTACCAAATTTGGCGACATTTCGCAATTATCAAAAAATCAAGCCTCCTCTCAAAAATTATTGTTGGCCAAGGACGCCTGCCTTATGTGCGAGCGAGACTCTTAGCCATGGAGTGAGATCCATTTGCATTTTAAATTCGTTGACTCAAGCTGTTAATTACCATCTTGCGTCAATGCATTCAAGACGTGATTGCGCTGCATGCCTATAAGCATGTCCCGCATGACGCAACGCACAATATGCTGACGAATTCTTGCCTTTCGAACTTCTTTATGCAGCGTACATTGCTTTCCCTTTGAAGCGTCAGATAGCAGCCATTCAACGCTCCACGCAAAACAGCCCACGACATTCCCATTTCATATACTCCCTGTCTTGAAAATGGAGCCAGAGTTGGCGCCCTATGAACCCTCTTCGCAACTACTATTGACCAGCCCAAGCCCTAAGTTTTCACAGGCATATTTAGCTGGAAACAACTGCAACCGGGAACAAATATTCTGATGCACTACGCATCTGCTCTATATCCACTACTGCTGGTCTAGTCTCAAGGGGCGCACATACGAAGTCGCTTGCCATCCCGCCTCCCACACACTAACAATCAGGTACGTGGGCTTCAACTGCAATCTATGTTATCTGGTGAGCATCGGAAGCATGCACTCTGTCGATAACACTCCATCTACCGCCCCCGCTCACGTATTCAAAAATCTTGCTTCACGGGCCCTCAGATACCACTTTGCTCGGCGCGTCTTTTCGCGTCGTGAGCGGGATGTGCATCGACGCTTGCGCGAATGCACAGGCCTCCTGCCTCGGCATTGGCTTCTCCCCCCACGCGCTTCGCTGCTTATTATTCTCAACATTCGTGTTTCATCGCATTGAGCCTTACTGTCCTTACAATACCGCCATACTATCCAGGTTCAGGTGGCTTGGGCGGCGTGGAATTGGGGGTCCTCTGGCCCAATATCCTGCATTTTGGAAGAGATTCCATTCATCAGCGCACAAGTAAATCAAAATGCGGCCATTCAAATTATTTCCTTCTCGTATCCTTGGCATAACAAAGGAACTTTAAAGATCGGTATTGCTTAGTTTTATACCGCTTGCCCGTCACTGTCCGAGATGTAACGTAGCTTCTACTGGAGCGTTTCCTGAAAAATTAGATATCTTGGCAAGGAACACCCGACATTGAGCTCTGCCATTAAGTTCAATGCATAAATGATGCCACTATCCTCAAAATTATCCAAAATTACTGCAAAATTGGTATAGGATATTATATCCTTTCCTTGTAAAATAAAATTTTGAATGTGCCACCTGCTCAACTCCACACTGGCAGAAGTGATCTCAGTCAAGAACATCAACGGTATTTTGTAGGAATCAACTTGCTGCTGCTTGGGTTTTCAAGTTTAGATCGAATCCAGCCCATCGCCACATGCTACTAGCATGAATCTGAAAGTATCTGCTGCCAAGAAATGTACTGTACATGGAAGGAGACAGACTGATAGCGGTTGCTATACTTGTGTGTGTTGTTGCTTCAACATATTGGTCGCATTTCAGCCTGAGTCCTAATTTCTGGTCCTGGTTTCCTGACCGTCGCGCTTGGGGTATTCAACAACGTCGCCACAGCTGCCCCAGTGAGGATGCTTCGTCAACGATATGGCATTGGCCATTTGCAGAGCAGGCAACACAGATCCCACGCGTTGCTGTGCCTATCCGCGCCCTGACGCGCCAAACCACTAAAGCTAAGCAATTTTCTGGATTCCAGGCGTTGTCCCCTTTGCTCCTCCAGGAGACAAAGTAAAGGTAGAACAACACAGACGCGCCAAAAGATCGATTGCTTCGCAGTTGCTGTGGCTGCTTGCACAGAGCCGATCCAGCACGCGGCACGCAGGACACCTCGAAATTCTAGACAACGATTGCGACCACATGGCTTGCGAACTGTGAGTTTGAATTCGCAATTTCGTCTTTTGTTCTTTCAAGCAATTGGCGTGTTGTGGATCATCTCCTTGGCATTCACATGTCTGTACTATTTGAGCTCCCTTCAAGGTTTCAGACCAAGATCTTGGCCTTGCAGAGTTGTCGTATGTTCCCCAGAAACAAACGTGGAATTGAGGTGCCCGCCTCAATCCAGCTGGTGCAAGCCGAACGGACTCAGTGGAGCCGGGAAGAAGCCACCATTTCGGCAATGCCAACTGCGATACCATCTCGACACTCAGCGCCGCCGTCACCATGATTTTGATGGGACCAACGTGACCGCAATGGAATCAGATAGTGTCGACGGCATCGCAGTTGGAATCACCAAAATGGTGCTTTCCGCTCATGGGTCCACTAACAAAGTGCGGCTTTCCTTGCACAGCATTTATCGCTGTCTGTACTTGGAATGTTTTTCCAAACTAATTTCAGGCGCATACAACGAGCGCCGCCGGGGAAAGTAGGGAAGGTATTTTTCTATGTGGTGTGGAGAAGGAAGGTATTGTGTTTCTGGCCATTCAGTCTTGGTGATGAAATCCTAGTGTGGATACCAAGTCCTGGCTATAGCGTTGGCCGAGGCTTCCCTTCGGTCTTCACAGTATTACTGGCGGCCACCGATGGAAGCAAGTGATTGATGCTTCCAGCTTGTTTGCAGCGCTCAGGGCGGTTTGGATGACTGTCTGCCAGTTTTAACAACAAAGCGAGATTTCCGCCATAGGCCCCAGGCCAGCGTTTCATTGCATGCCAAGAAGTTTCCGATCAGCTGCTTAGCTACAGGATTTTGCGCTGAAAACGTTCCGTATCTGTCTGCTTCGCCGGTGCATTGGCGCCGGAAGCCATCTTCTACTGGTGCTGTTTTGCTGCATTGCGGGGCGCCTTGAACTTTACCCAGACATGAAAACCACCCGCGCGGGGTCTGACCTGGGATTATCCCGGATCGCGGGAGATTCGGTAAGTCGCTGCCCGTCCAACAACAGCGTCTTCTCTAGGCAACGGAGGCCCATGATTCAGTGCCTCATTACTTCTCTTCTTTATGGCGCCAGTGATCCCCGCCGTTTCTTTCTGGGAGCTATCCATGCCCCGGTCAACATCGTAGTGGCTCAAGCTGAGCTCTGTGCTGTAGCACAAAACCGCAAGTCGATACGGACTCATGTTACTGGAGGAAAACCGGCGCAGGGCATGGCAACTGGGGCGGTAACCCTAAGGAAATGTGTTTCATGTTTGGCAGCCACAGACTGGCACCCCACCCCACGGGAAATTCTCCGCGCTCCTGATGCTAACGCGAAGGGTGGCTGCCCATGAAGCTGGAGCCCAAACGAGCCGGAGCTGCGCTCTCCGCACACTGGTTTCTACAGTGATATTCATGTATTGTGTCAGCATCTGCAAATACGTACTCGAAGCTGTCAAGCATGTTTCCTATGAGCATGAGCTCTGTTGCAGTCAAGCGAATGTGCGGCAACAGGCAATTGCAGCACTCCGGCATGGCCACTCACCAAACATCAAATCGACGCTCTTTCTATCCTAATGCTGTAGCACTTGTGCAGTTTTTTGCTATGGATGTGCCGCACTGCGCTTTGGGGTGTACACAAAGATTCAGAAATATAATCCACAGACATATGCCGCTGTTTCAGAAACGTAGCACATCATGGATTGCTTTCGGCTCAAGGGAATGGGGCAGTACGAATTCGCAAGCGAGTTTATTACATTATGACTTTACTGGGGGATCCATTTAGATAACTAATAACCTCAAATCTAATGCCAAATTGGCTATGCGCGCGGGGTTTCGAAATCATGCGATCCATTCATGTTGATTGGAATATATCACTATGCGGCAATCTCGCAAGTGTACAATGCCCTTGATCGCGACGCACCCACTCCGAACCGAACTCCGAACGGCAGACCACCTTTGATCGTCAAAAGCTTCCTTGTACTTCTGCACAAACGCCGAAAACCTCTGCTGTGCCTTCTTCTTCTCCTCCTCCCGTTCCGAAGATGACATCTCAGTGCTCTCATTGATGCTCTTCAGGTGCTGCTCATCCCAGTACCTTCTGTTGTCTCTAAGGTTGATCATGGAAAGACGCAGCTCCGGAAATATGCGAACCACCTGTGCAGAGCGCCGCCAGCATCACCGGCCCCAACTCTCTCACCAAAAATCGAGTAGATCCCTATGGGCGATAGCTTCTCCCCCACCCACTTTTCGTAGATTATGCAACAATCGACGCCTACCTTCTTGAATGTCGTTATGCAAATGATATCGGCATGTGTTTGGCTGCTTTGCCAGTGTGCACAGCTCTCTCTGCAGAGGTCGTTTGTCGCATCGAGATGAAGGGCCAGTCACCGTTCTCAGCCCCAAGAAGGCAATCCCGTTTTGAAAAGAAAAGCCAGCGCGCTCGCCCTGAATGAGGCAGAGCGGTGCGCACCTGGAAATACAGCGGGGCCACAATGAACTCGATGAAGTTGATTTGGGACTGGGGCCTGCTTGTCGTGTCTCTGTTGCACATGGGGGAGATGGGCAGGCCCCGCTCTTGCTCAAGGTCGCCTTGAGCGAAGAACTCGTTCAGAACGTTTGTTGCCCATCTGAATCCACAACATGCATCCTGAATCGATCAAAACAAAACATGACCCAATGCCAAAATGCACTGACCAGAATCGTGCATTGCACCGGCACGTTCAAGGGCGTGGCAGCCACGGTGTGCGGACCGTCTGCGAATGCAAAATTGTTTGGGGTTGCTCCCTATCGTCGATGCTCTGTTTCCCATTCCTAAGCGCTGGAATCGCAATTAGGTGTAAACTATTTGGCCATGCGATGGCAGCTGCTCGTGCACCCGTAAACACAGTTGTGTACCTGTTCAGAAATGCGTGAAGGACTCAATACATGCATTCTTTGCAGCCCCCTCATGTATTGTGTTTCCAAAATGAATTGCATGGGAGACTTTTCGCTCTGCAACATTCCAACAAGTCTTTGCTCCAGTATCCATGCAGATAAGCTCCGTCAAGGGTATTTTTGTGCCATTCTCTTGCGCTTCTGGCGGCTGTCTGTGTTCGGGAGTGTTTGCTTTGTTTCATGGCAAGCAAACTCATTATACACGAACCTCAAAGCAGTGAGACAACTGGACCATAGTAAAGAGACACGCTGAGTATGCAGACATGTTCGACAACGTGCGAGAATCAATGCGCATGCCTTCCTGCACCGATCTGTGAAATATATGAGCGAATCCATAGAGCAATACAGAAGGCACTCCGAGATCATGGCACATCGATTTTTACATACACATTCACAACAACAACACAAAAGAGCAAAGTCCATTGGCAAGGTGACACCACTTGTTTCATTCCCGTACGGAACACTATGCACCTGTGGTCACTTCACGTAAAGGCGGCCTTCCAGCCATGCAAATGCCTCCCCACATGCGAATCAGAACGTGTTGCCCACAAATGTCAATAGGACGCGCCACGTGGCTCAGTGCAGCAATGTGCAGCGGGCGATGCACACTGCAATCGAAAATCGCGGCACATTTTTGGCGCGAACATCATCCCACCTTTCGCTTATTTTTAGCGGCTTCACGGCGTTGCTTATGTCTGCACAGTGCAGCAACATGCTGATCATGAACAATCGATCTTCTGTGGTTTTGAAGAGTCCCGACTGAAAGACCTCATAATCTCCCTCCACGGAATCCGCTCTGCCGTACACGTTTATCGCACTGGCATGCAATTCATAGAACACGTCCACCTGCGGGACAGCACCATATTCTCCTGGTCGCTCCAGGCGGGCACGCCATTCAATTTTGAATTCTCGGAATGTACTGAAATTATTGATCCACCAATTAATGGAATGCACTGAATGCACTGACGCACGCCTTCCTGGCATTCGCGTACATTGCAGGAGGAAGCCCACTCCTGTCAGTGATGCAGTTTCTCATTTGAAATCCCATGTGTCAAAAGCTTCGAAATCTCACTCTGGCGTTCCCCAGGATGCACACCATGGGTGCGATTCTTTCTGCAGTGTTGGCGATGCGATAGATATCTACACCTCCAAACCATGCGACACAGGGATTGCGTACGAATCGGGGTTCTGGAATTGTGTGGCCATGGGGCCATGAACAAGTGATTCTGGGCAAGCGCTTCGCTGGGTTTTTACGCCCATCATTGGCTATCAGGTGCAAGGGCTGTATTTCGCCATTTCATGGGAAATGTAGTCGATGGATTTTGATGATGATGACACCTCCAAACCGTGTTTCTCTCAAACAGTCATTGGGGATTTGAGCAATTACGTGCGCTTGGGACCGCTGCACGACATGGCCGTTATGGTGCAAGGGATTCTGCTTGTCATGCGACAAATGTTGTCAAACGAGGATTGACACACACAAGCCCCCGAGCGGCATCGGTTGGAGAAGACGACTCCGTGTCCGTTGTTCGTCTCTGAATCGCGTGTTCTTCGCATCGCCAGGAACTCATAGCGCTCCCAAGGTCATTACAGGAGATTGCCTACTTTCGTTAAAGGAACTTACGGCGAGGATTCATGGGTCTGCAGATTTTCGACAGTGCAATGCGAATGCCCTTCTCAAGAACGTATGCGTGCACTCAAATGAATGACGATGGTTTAATTTGTGCAATTCTGACCAAGCACATCGCCTGTGTCTGCGATTGCACCCGCCTAATTTCCCAACAGCTAGGAAAGGCGTTTCTGAGGAAAAGAATTAAGCATTCATTCGTCCATGCAAGAGAGGTGTGATGTCGGACAGCGCCGCAGCCTTCCGAACGCTACCTTGGACACCATTGCGAAGTGGTGCTGCATGTCTGTGTGGAGTATGGCCCCAATGGCAATTTTGCGAACTTCTTTCCACGTCGCCTCGTCCAGCAGCTGGAAGACATCCGCCTCTGGGTGCTCCGCGACCAGGGTGTACAGACATGACACGTGGCGGTTTTCAAGCACGGAGTTATCGTTGTACAGTCGCGCCAATTCGCTCCTCGAGTTAACGAGGAAGGCGTTGTTCAGACCTGCGGTTGCAGGAGAACGTCGTAACTGGAAAGGCCATCGACTGCGCCCAACATGCGCTCGTGCTGCAGTTGTCTGACAAGTCTCGACCCACGCCGCCCCAAACGATTAAACGCCTCATGACGAGCGCCGCTCATGCCTCTGTCATATCCAAGGATCCCTTGTGGCATAATCAGACTTATTTTGCGGCACTGTGATTTTCGTGTGTTTTAGTCAGATGGGCTGCAGTCGCGGTCGATGTAGTCCGTATCACAAATGGCGCCCCCTGGCTTTGAAAAAATGTGGCAGCGGTACGAGTGCACCTCGGCAAAGGGGAACTCAGCGGGCCGTTAAGCACCTGGATGGTCCAGATCGTGACAAAGTGCCGCCACCACCAGAGCGAATCTTTCTACCCTCGTCATATGCGTCTTGTGGATGGTGAGCATGATGAAGCGGTAGGTTGCGTGAGTGACGTCAACGCAGTGAAAGAAATTGTGGTAGGGCACATCGTTGTATCTCTCGCGAACCTTCGCATGTACATGGGCGCCAGCTTCAGGCAGAGGTTGCCGTAAATAAACTCAACATGAATGCTGTTGTGTTGCAGAATGGAATTGCTCAGCACAAAGGAGGGGGTGTGTGCGAATTTCTCAGTGCTGTTGTCCTCAAGCCAAAGTTACCATGGTTTTCCAGTTTCGACAACAGCAACCGTGCACAAGACCCTGGAAATAACTTTTAAGAGCGCGTAATTTTGTTGTTGGGCATATGGGTATCCATGTGCACTGAAATCTATGCCTTGGGCAATCATGGCACCTCCCCCAAAACACTGGCAACAGCCGCCAACAGTACTTTCAAGAATCTATCTGAGATTGTTGTAATATTTGATATCAATGAGCAAACGCACCCGACTCAATCTTCGCCGTGCAAATTTTCTTCGGTGAATGCTGGTATAAAATTCTGTGTGGCAAGAGCAAAGTCCAGCGTTTGCATTGGCAAAGTCCCTGGCAGACAAGCTCGCAGCTGGCCCACCACCCAGCTGCACGGAAAACTGCATTTTGGTGCGTTCTACTCAAGATAGCAATTCTGTCTGAAAATCCAAGTCTTGCAAATCACCTTGTCAATGAATTGGTACAATATGTCCATCGTGACCAATGGCTTAGACTCGTCATCCCTTTTACTGGCCTCTTCTTTAAACTCTGCTAATTCCAGCTGTTCGAACATCACGCATATCGAGGTCATCAGTTCCTGTGTGCAGAATCAGCGCCATATGTCCGTGTTCTCTCATCAAAATCTTCGATAGAATTTTTGGCACTATGGATGAGGGAATGCAAAAATGCATGCATGATCCGAAGCGCGTTTTGGTGTGGAAGTGGGTAGCAGAGCAATTTGCTCTGCCAGATCGCTTTGAAGGGGCTCTTGGTGCAGCTGCTTGGCAATCAGGTTCGGAGCATCCGGTACGTACGCTGCGGACTGCGGCAGAACGAATGTGATTTGAGGTCCTCGCATTGATATGCACTCATTCAGTAATCATCTCCCAATACGCTGTTGTTAGATAAAACATGTTTGTGGAGTAAATTGACAGAATGGCCATCTTCAAGCTGCATCTATAGGCAGGTCAAAATCGACGGTGCCGGTTGTGCCAGACGGCCCATAATCGCCTCCTGACAGACATCACTTGCTATAAGGCACCCGAATGATAGTCTAACGCAGTGAAGCTATGCACAGGCAGTTTCAGTAGGGACCAAAAATTGAAATAGGCTGAGCACGATTTGTTTCCACGTCTTTTCGTCCACACCTCAGTGGTATAATCGTACACGTCGAAATCCCAGGAATTCAGCCTGTCCAGATCAACATCTGCCATGTCAACGAGCAGTTTTGGCGCCTTCTGCCTGTCTCCAGACAAGCTCATTGCCTTTTCCATGTGCTTTTGGGTCACTTTATCCTGCGCAGCAGCTCACAGCAGACGTCAGAAAACCCATTCCCACTCTTGCTCTCATCGCCTTGAAGGCTTGGTTCAGGAAATGCGACGCCCCCGTCGTGACAGAGATTTCGAGACGCACCTTGGCCGACACACGAGTACTGTGTTTGACAAACCCAAACAAGGTTGTTCCCGCCCCAATGTGGCCGACTACATGGGCCCATCCATTGCGAAACAATTTTCCGAATTTCAGACAAAGAATCCTCAATATTCGTAACACATTCCTCATCTATCCTGCTATGAAAATGGCGCTTCCACTGCAAACCACTGCAGCGAAGGCTCTCCTTGAATTCAGCCACTCCTTTGCCTTAATCGGCCTCTTTTGGACAGTAAATTCGCCCGCGAGGCTGCTGCACAGCTAAACACAAAAAGGGCAGGAATGCAATGACCCGAACATGGCCTGCACGCCCATTGTGCGCCCGAACATACGCCAGCCACTCCAATTCCGGTTTTAGCTTGACATTGCATACCAGCCACCCCGCGCCCACAGTGGACTTTCTTCCCCTGTTCGGCTCCGTTGCGTTGCCATGTGCACTTCCGCCGGCCATTTCGTGCAGCCATGCCTTGGTGTCGTCCGTGGTGTGCACGTCCTGGAGGTAGTCCTTCACCACGTGTTGTCCTTGCGTGCCAGATGCGGTCACGTGGGCCACCAGCTTGCTCATTTTGTTGATGGCAGCCTCAATTGTACTAATTTCCGTTGCATCGGCGTCCTGCGCCAAAATGCTTTCATGCAAGAGGTATCAGTTAAATGTGCAACTTTGGTTGCATTGACGTGGGTTGGATTTGGCGGCCGATTCATTGAGACCTACAGAGGAAAGCCTCTGCTAAGCATGGATGCTTCAGAGATTCATTCGGGTACTTGGCAGCGGTTGTTCTGGTGATGTCCAAGCTCGTTGCAGTATCAGAATATCAGCACCAGATCCCATAATTGCCATCTGAATATCATTTTGGGATCAAGAAACAGTAGGAAGTGAGCCATTTCCTAATGTTTTGTCCGCAGATCAACCAACAAGCATTCGCACTTATATTAAGCTTTTACAGGTAAATTATATTATCACCAACATTTAGTAATTAATAGCTAACTTCTCGTGCTTCCGTTTTGGTGTCGCACCTCATTTTCGGTTTCCAGCGCTGACATGATCTGGGAGGCGTTCTTTTGAATCGTGTTGAAAATCCTCTCCAGTGGTGCAACAAGTATCCTGGTGGTGTTGCGGTGGAGCACGGCAACAAAAATACAGAGCTCCAAAATAACGCAAATTCCCAGGAGCATGTCGTACAATGCCTCTTGCTTGTTCTGCTTGGAGAGATCGAGTTCCATGGTAACAACGGGGGAACCATCGCCTGAAAGCACAAGCCTTCAAGACAACACACATGTTTGTTCCGCTGAAGTGGCAACAACATTGCTATTAGGCTCTGACTTTCCCCAGATACCACATTTGTAAGCGTAGTTGCATTATTGCACTTCTTCATTGGCGAATATTTGGCTGACACAGAAGTACACAATTGTCTGCTTGCCATCCAGATGGCCAATGGGTGCCAGCTTGATGTTGTACAACACGCGTTTCATGCTCCAAGCATATTGCAACTGATACACACAAAATAAATGGAAGGAGACAACACAATGCTTCGAAGCTGGGCTCTTGCTTATTCGTGTTACATCAATATCCATGGATATATGGATATATGCTGCGTTAATAAAAATTCAGCATGGCGCATTGGTCATTAAATATGTTCGACTTGTAGTTGCGTTGCCTTCAGGAGATCCTTTAAGCTGGTTCTGGCTGTAATGTTTCCATGTTCCGAATACAGCACAGGCCTCGTTGGCATTGAAGATTGCGCAATGTCACATCATTCAACCATCTTCAGCCCCAAACTGCGAGGAACATTGAGGAATTTGTTATTGTCATAAATTGTTGCTGCTCAGCCTCTCTGTTGAATGCCATCAACGCATTCTACAGCCTATATTTTGTTGGCCATGCCCATTTGTCCAGGTGGCACACTGATTATCTCCTTTGTGTATCATAGAATATCAATTTGAAGGGGTGAACAAAACCAATCAGGCAGGGTTTTCAGCAGACAGCAAGTGCTTGAGCAACAGTGCAATGCAATCATATACTACCTCCGTTCCAAAAATAACGTACCTTGAATTCTAGCTATAACGTTGCATGTTCAACGCAATCAATAACTCCGTCACCAGATTCGGAATCTTTGGTCCATTTTGGGGTCAATGTGGATCTTGGTTACATTAGTCATCAGACAACGGCGATTCACAACATTCTCCAAAGTGTCCCTGTCCACCTCTGTCAAGGCCTCAATTCCCCTTATTTCGTTACTCGCCTTATCCACGTATGTGCCAAAACATTTCCCAAAACTTATTCACGAACCTTGCTGCGGGCAACAAATAGGCGCCACTGCACCCTTCCAAGAGTTTCGGCATCATTCCGATAGTATTCTTTGTGGACCTTCTCTTCCGCTACGCTGAATCGTGCCTCCAAAATTCTCAATTTCACGACTGGCCATGTTGGCCTCAACCAAGGCAGCTTTTTGGTTAGCATCAGCATGCACGGCCTTCCTGACTTGGCACTTGGCTAGGCCAATGCTCTTGCACTAATCTAGGTGGCCCTTGGCCTTCGGCCACAACATACGCACAATTGTTGTTGACACACGGAAATCTGCAGTAAACTCGAATCTCGTGCTTTGTGGACTTTTGCTTAGAATTCAGCTGCGTCTTCAGTGTATACCCAACCACCAGGCCGCCTTTCCTAGAGAGATCTCAGCTCGTTCCCACCCCCTTGAATGGTGAGACGATCTCGCCATGCTCGCCTCAAGGTCCCGACAAAATGAAAAGTGGCGTTTCAGATCTTCTTAGCATGTGGGAGCACGGCAGCGCCGTTCACCGCGTTCAACGGCTGTAAGGAAAGTCCTTGATATGGCCCGTCAAAGTCGTCGAGGTCAATTTTCTGACTCGCGCGTTTTGACCTCCGTTCGCGCAAATTACAGATGCTGCACGATATTTGGAGGTAGTGCATAGCAAAGCTGTGCTGCAAATGGAGTTCTTCATGTTAGCCGGATCACATTGAATTGTAATTTTGCGATGACGCCATGATTAATACCTGTCTTTTTCTCTCCCGTTAAATGACCCCACCTCCGGGGTGAAGTCCCACAGCTTGTCTTCAACCTTCAATATTTTCACCTCCATTTCCGCATCTCCTTGTCTTATAAACCTGCGCACACACTGATCTCGGATTGCACAAAGCCTCAAAGGCATTGCGGCTTGCTCTTGCCGCTGTTCTCTCAATGCGGCAGTCCAAAATCAAACGCATATGTGTTCAAGATGTCCACAGGACGGGCACCGGCGATGAAATTCATGCCAAATGCTCCCACAGGTTTGAATACGCTGCCAGGTAAGCAACCAGGCCAGGATTGGCTCTGGGCATATGCGCCGTTCACTCGTAGAACCCAAGGGGACAGTTCTGATCAGAAGCACCATGTTAGTAATGCGCGCACACATTGTCAGATTATTCGAGCCGGAAATGTACAGTTTGGCCGCACCCACGTCCTCAAGGTCTCCACCAGAGGGCTCAGCTCCTCCTTTGACTCGCCAGCCCTCATTTGCAGTGTTTCGATGTACGCCTGGGGTGCCCTGTCGACCTCGTTGGTTTGAAGCAGCATCACAACCATCATTGTCACCATCACCAGGAACGCCACCTTCAAAAATTAGAGTAGCTGTTCAGAGAGCGCCACCAGTCCGGCACAGCAGCATATTGACAAGTGTCCAATTTCCAAAAGGCGTTGCTGCATTCACATGCAGCATCAATGCGAGAACTGGTGGTGGACACATGCACAGGGACATGTGCATCCGGTGCAGTTCTCACAGGGCTTGGAGCTACACTGATTTTGCATGTTGCACGTGAACATCGGCTCTCTGAAGGCAATGGGACGGCCCTCGCGTGAACAGAGCAACAAGTCTTCAATTGACAGCTTTAGTTGGTCCATGCCATCAAAGGAGGTATTTGCATTCGTTCTGAAGTGCACGCAGGTAGAGGGTACTGGCCACACCCCAAGCGCTGCTTATGTGCCAGATTTGTTCTCACAGAACGCGAATTCGCTGACCACATCTGTGGGTTCCCTGGATGATTACCAGTGTTGAAATCTTGTCTGCCAAGTGACTTCCGATTGAAGACGGCGCCATGGATTTCTCCGTGGTATCGCTTTCCACCTTTCGTGCAAAGTACCGTCTGATCATCATGAAGATCTTTAGCGCCCGAACAAACCTCACCAACCGCACAAGCCGCGTTACGCGACCTGCTTTCCAGTGCCGACAGCAGAACAGGAAAAAAAATCAGAGCACATCAAGTAGAATCAGGAATCTGCAATGCACAAACAATGAAAACTTCCTGCTTGACGCCCCGACCTTCAAGCTTTCTCATGCAACCATCACATGCTTCAGAGCCTGAGCCGTGCAGCGGCGCTGCCGTCCTGTGTTATCGGGACAGTGCTCGGGGTACACTCCCCACAGAGCGCAACACAAGCCCAGTGGTGGACGACCACGTGGGGTGATCACACAAAAGCTCCGCGGTATCAACGTGTCAGCACAAACCCATTCTGCATTCATATCTGATCCCGTTTCAACCAAGTTTAGAAGCAGGCGTCTGAAAAACGAAATCATTGGGGACTGCGAAATGGAGAATTCAGTGGTCGCCACGGCCAAAAATGGCATAATAACAGGCGCAGCGCCACACAATGCCCTGCGCTTGCTCGTTTTCAGTCAAAGCGAGATTGTCGGCACCGCCGCTCACCAGCTCTCGACGTTATGATTGCTGTTCTGGAGACATTCGCTGTCTTGTAGTCATTGCTGGGAATGAGCCCAGCGCTCACCCACGACACCTCCAACAGAATCGACAGCGTCCCAATGAGTTCGAGAGTCAAGTAGAACGCATCTCTCTTCTGCTGCACCCACGCATTGGCCACCATTTCAAGTCCAAAAAGGACGACGCTGGCCAGCAGCGAAGCGTCTATTGGCGAGACGGTGGAGTGGGGGGCGGCCGCCAGCGCCGCAATGTCGGTAACAAAGAGGACGTAGACCAGCAGTACGAGCATCGACGTCTGCATTGCAGTGCTGTCCATGATCTTCCTCAGCTTGACCTTCCTTTTCTCTGTGGGTGTGCGCCAGGCACAAATGCCGCATTAGGGCGCCGCAGACACTGCAGCTCAGTTCAGGAGAAATCGCACGTGATAGCAATCAGACGCACTGCATGGCAACTTGCGGCCTGGTGGCATGAGCTTCAGGTCGCCAGCATGCTCTTTTTACGGTTTTCTGGGCATGGTATTGACGTAAAGTCCTTGGAGTTTACTCACACCACCTCACCCCGCCCACATCATCGAAAGAAACAATGCAAACGGAACATCAAATCAAGGGTTCGGGACGATTTTTGTGGATCCAGGCGGCCCAACTCCCGCATCCTGAGGATTCACAGCGCTTCTCGCACGCCAAATGCATCTGTCTGGAATCGCCAATGTTGGATCGATACAATGTGCAGCTTGCGGCCTCCTAGATGGGCATGCATTAATTCATTAAGAAAATACGCAACCACTCCCCGATGTGCGATTGTTACTCCGGGGAAATGTGCCGCGATGTCGCGGCAGCGACACTAGCACCAGGAATTGGCCGCTTGGTGCCATTCGAAGAGGGAAGCGCCGAGCATGGCCTGACCGTTGCCACCGTTTCCAATGCTTTCCACGGCGGAAAGAACAGCACAACCGCCTGCGGCGTCTCTTCCAACCACAGATGCAACTGCGACGCCATAACATTCTTTTCAAATTGAGCTAGCGCCGACGTCCAAAAGTTCTAGCGGTTCACGACGCCAAGCGACACTGCTGTCATTTGTTCCGTTGCTTTGTTGCCCCGGCGACGCGCACATGATTGCACGCTGGGCAGTTTCGACCGGCGCCTCTGAAGCCTACATGCAAGAGGAAGCTGCTTCGGAGCCTATCATCTCGCCACCGCAGATCATTTGGTGCGGTATTGAGCCATGCGATCCACCCATCGCGCCGATTGCGCCGCTCCTTGATGGCGCCAGCCATCAGTCGCCCACAAGCCAGGTTTTCAGAACGAACAGCCACATATTCCTCATGTTCTGTTCGGTCGGAAAATCCAATTGAAAACGCGCTCTAGGGGACCCACGCCTTCTGCGGCATGCTGTGCGACGACCCTGGGGGCCACGGATCGTTGTTATCCAGACAGCTTGGCGACAAGTGGTGGGCAAGTTTCGTTGCTGCGCGTCCTCATGCATGTCTTGAACAGTATCTCAGCACGGAAACGAATTTCAGATACACATTCACGTGGAGACAGCTAACACCTGCAAAAAAAGCGACATTTTGGCGATGCGAAGTGCGATACCCTTTTACGGTTATTGATACCATCAAAGCTATTTTTGTGGCATCGCAGTCGCTGTGAAGGCGCCGCTTGGCGCCACAGTGGAATCGCAATTGACATCTCAAAATGTCGTTTCCTGCCGGCGAATGAATGAAGCTTCTGCTAAGTTGCAGACAGCAACCACAAGGGAAGAGCAAGGCGGAGGGAGGCGCAAACAATCAAGTCTGCGCTCGTGTCCAATGCATCCGGGCCGCTGTGGAGCGGCGATGCCACGTTGGACATGTCCCCACCGTTCAAACCCACAGACGCCAGCAGAGAACCCAGACGGGACCATCTTCCGCTCGACGCCGGGGATCCTCCAACTTCCTGCGACACCGCGAGGCTGACGGCCCCGCCCAGCAAGCCCTGGCGCCCACACCAGCACAGCAACGACTCAGGGCCGCAGCACGGCCACGCGCCCACACCGCCGCGACGGGCACTGCCCCCGCCGGGACCGGCAAGTGCGCTTTGCATTTCCGAAACGGGCCGACAACAGCGCAACAAAAGCGTCAGCAGAGGCGCAGAGGCGTCATATGGACTCCCCTGGCCGCTTGACGCCTGGCTGTGGGGGGCCTGCGTGGGGCCGCTGGCGGTGGGGGCCGGACGCACCTGCTTGGCGTCCGCCACCGATTCCTTTCTCCTGAGGTCGCCCATGGCCCTGCCCGGGGACCCTCTGGCGAGGCAGGTTCAAGGCCGTGTGCGAGCACTGCTCCGCCAGCTACCATTCCAGTTCCGGCAGCACTTCCCGCGCGATGACTGCACCCTGTGGGGCCCCAGTCGGCCGCCCAATTCGATTTTGCGCGCGCGCGGGCGGCGGGGGGTGGAACTCCCGCGGGCTGTGGCGCGCCGTCCCAGCTTCGGGAGTTCTGTCTGCTCACTGTGGCTCGCGGGGCGCGGCGAATGTCTGTTGACTCAGCGCGAAGTCAGCGGACAGTACGGCCGGGCGGACGCGCACGGCATTCGTGCATACGGCGATCTTGGCTTGATGTCACCAACCGCTGCATGCCCGCGTGTTTTTATTGAGCCTTTTGTAGTTTCCGCCCGGGTCAGCCCGAAGCATTATGCCCTGTGTAGTCTGTGCCTTGCGGCCATCCGCTGTTGCTCGTCGTCATGAACAGCGTTGCACCCCAGCTGTCGCCACCCTTAGACCGAGAAATGGATGCGAGTGACGTGTACCGTACATTGAAGATGGCAACGCCGACATGGCGACGTTGCTGACGTCGGCAGGAATATCCAATTTAATCAAAGCGCCGATCCGCAACGCAAAGGCCAGAGAGTTGTCGCCATAACGTCCACCCGGACCGCACCTCCCAATCCATCCAAATCGACTGGTCGTTTGCGGTTTGCCATCTGCAGTCCTGCCACCATCGAACACATAGACACAACCGTCACGGTGATCTGGTGTCCTTTCGCAAGCATTGATGCGGTGATACCGACTGGCTGGTACATCTGTGGGAACACCTGTGTTGGCACTGTCGGACGATGTACTGGGCTGTGCAGCTGAGGGGGCCAGTGTCTCACAGGGCCGTAAACTTGTGCAGGACATTGACTAGCATTCAAAATGGCAGGTGCAGGAGGAGTCCATTGTGCACAATGAGCTTCCAAAGGTCCCGACACTGCCATACATCTGCACATGTCCTCGCCTGAATATGTTGGCTGTATTGACCCAGTCTGCGCTGAACAACTGACTAAAGCAACCCTCGGTGAGTCAGTTGTGGCAAAGACTCGTCATCATCCATTTTGCGAGAGTGAGAAGCAACTGGACATGCAGTCACAGCACCAAGAAACAGGCTCCAGTTCTTCCACTGCCCATTATTGTTCGGGTACCCTAGTGCACCCATGTGACAGACATTCCTTGCTACTTTGTCGTCGTGCCAGCACTATGATGCCGGGATAAACAAACAGGAACGCACCATACATTCCGTTCCTCCCAGTGCCTTGGCGTCCTGTTACTTGAGAACATGCACTGTGTAGATGTCTTGGGAGTCCATTTGTACACCGTGTGATATACTGGCAGGTGGAAAACTGTCGATCCAATGACAACCACCCGTAAGAGTCCTGCCATTCAATCTCTCCTGCATAGAAGTGTTTGATCAGAGTAACCTCCATTCCCCTTCCCAACGTGTGGCAGCTCTGAAAGAGACTTAAAGAACATGTTAATCTACGCACAACCTGCACTACGAATGCTGAGCCACATGGGGGCGCAAGCATCCAAAACCATCTGCGGTTGGCAGCCTACGATGGCAGTGGGGGGTATCCACAACAGTGCACAGCCCATACTTAATCCAGATGACCACAACAGATTACAAGGGACAGTGGCTGAACATTCTTGGGACCTTTCAATCCAGAGCATGGTGGCACTGTTGTCAAGGTTCCTCTTTGAGCCAAGGAGCAATGAGAGCCCCCTTGAGCAGGCACAGGCTTCTGTATCTACTTTCATGCACACTCTGGTCACTTGAGTCAACTCGATGCTTTGGCCCTTGATTCCAGCTTGATGACCTGTATCGCAGAGCCCTGCTTTCAGAGGTGTGGCACAGCAAGGCGCCCATGTTCCAATCTGCAACAAAGGTGGCGAACCAGAGAAGGCACTGCTGGGGCCCATGACACCAAGCACTCAACTTCCAAAGGACCCACTGCCCACACACCATCGATAACATCAGCAACAAGAGATCGCAGTGAATACTCTGCTGGCAGACATTCTTTAGCCCAAACAAGCTGGACTCTCACTATTCCACATCGCAAGATCAGCTCTGGAGCAGAAGCTTGCAATCCTGAGTTCAAAGCAAAAGATGATGGTGCATGGCATGCATCGCACCTTCCTTACTATCTTCTGCTCCTCAAGCAGAAAGGCTCTGATAATCCTGTCCACAACAAAAATACACTAACTACCAAGTGCATGATCAGAAATGCCACGCAAGCTGTGAAGAAGCCAATCCAGGAACGGCATCCTTGCAGGTGACTTGCCGAAGGACAGTTTTCATCTGCAGAAATGACATACGAGCACAAGTGCAACATGCTTCAGATCATCTATGATCATTGAATTACAAATTCCACTGATCCAGTACCATCCGCAAGTAGAAAAGTACAGATCTGATTCCTTTGAAGAATTTTTGTCAGACTGAGGCAATCCAGCCTGACCGAAGCACATGTGCAAGGATGAAAGATCAGCTGGAAAGACTTCAGTTGAGATAGGGGCCAAAACGTTATGAAGCCACTACATTTGCTGCCCGTACTGTGCACGTTCAATATAGGATTGGGAGGGTTGGTACAAAATCATCTGAACTAATTTCTTCTGCTGTGATACACACTGACAATGTATTATTCTCTTTTTGCGGGCTTCAGCGGTTCCGCTAAGAAAGGAGATGGAGGTGGGACTGCTGAAAATTTGGACTGTTCACAGCCCCAAACGATGCACCACCAGAGAAGCCACCATTCATGCCCTGCGAGGTGCACACCTTTCGCGGACAACAGCATGCGAGAGGCAGCCGCCATATATCCTGTTCACTTTCTTGTGCCTCTTGGATAGTCTTTTGCAGCTCAACTCACTCGGTCGGTGCGCTTTCAGCTGTTGACACAATGGCAGGCGTCAGAGTGCCGCAGTTCCAGCTGGCCACTTCCAGCCAAGGCTGTCAACCCAGTCCGACACAAGCTCCCACGCATTCACCACATTCTTGGCACTCCACTCGGCCCACCAGGTAGCAGGTTTTGAATTAGCGATTGGAGGCAGCGTCAAGAATTCGACTATATTCCCCTCCTCTTCCTCCTCTAGAGTTCTGGCTGCGGCCATTTGAATAAGCATTCAACGTGAGATCACGGTTCATCTCACACAGCGAGCAACGGAACGCGGTCGCTCACCCCGTTGAGCTTGACGCCGGAGACCTTGCAGTGCGGGTTGTTAACTTTCTTTTTCATGTACTGCACCACGAGTTTGCCACCTGCCCGCACAGGGCGCAAAATCAGCACCTCGAAGGCAACGAATTTCCACCGATCCACCACCGTGGTTTCAAATTGACGCAGCAAGGGAAAAACGAGGCTCACCGGTCCCACCACCGCGGTTTCAATTTGACGCAGCAGGGGGAAAACGAGGCGCAGCGCCAAATCCTTGCTCCGATCGTGAAGCATCGACCCACCCGGTGTCCGCACGAGGCGCGTCCTGTTGGAGCGCGTGCGGTAGGGATGCCGCCTCCTGTACGTCACCCGCTCCGCCATCGCGAACCGCCGCACCGCCCAGCGTCAAGCCGATTGGCTCTGTCCCGCTGTGGTCGCTCGCCTGGGGCCGGCCGCGCCGCCGCCTGGGCCGAAGCGTCCGGCTGGGCCAACCCACACAGCCTAAACAGGCAAAAGGATAAGGTGCCAAAAACCAATTCTGAGCTCAGACTTTATAACGGCAAAAGAAATTGGGAAAATATCCTCAGTGACCCATTTGTTTGGCACCACAAGCGGCCCACGCGGCTCCCCCTGCGCCCCACGCTCAAGCACAGGGCTGTGTTGCTGCGAGTGCCCCTGGCCCTGCCCTCCAGCCCACCCACCAGCACAATCCCACACTCCGCGTTCGCTGCTTCTGAGACCGCCTCCAGCCCCGCCCGAGCACTGTTGGATCGTCGTCGAGGTCGCCATGCAGCCCAACGCAGCGCGACCTTCGCTGGCGCGGACTCGCGGGTTGCCCTCCCTGCCGCTGCGGCCCGCCCCGGGATTCGGCGCCGCTCAGAGGGCCTCGCTGGCGATCGTCCCCGGTCTAGGTGGTCGATGCCGCGTGACCGCCCTTTCGGACAAGCCGCGGGCGTCCACCAAGCGAGAGGGGCCTGCAGGGCCACAGCAACAAGGTGGGATGGCGGGAGTGTCCCGATCCGTTTTGGTGCGGGGGAGGAGACGATTGCGCGCCAGGCACTTTTGCCGGGATATCGCATGGCGGGTGCGGCTGCCCTGCGCGCGCGCACGGAAGTGAAAGCGCGGGCGGTTCTGAAGGTGCAGTGCCGCCGTTCCAGCGTTGGTTGCTGAATCATCTCTTCGCTTTCCGCGAGCAGCCGTTTTGTCGTGCAAGATCTGGATTCCCCAGAGCATGATTGGTTTGTGAAGAGCTTGTCGAATCAGCTGAGCGCCGCGTGAAGCGACCAACACGCCCGAGCCAGCCATATGACCGCATCCTGCCGGATAGCTGACGTCTCCGGTGCTGTGCCACGCAGGCTCCACGCCTGCCGCCTCCCCTTGTGATTGGATCTCTTCCGTTGGCAGCTGCATCGGCAAAGCCGTCGTCGCTGCGGGCGTGGCTGGGATACTGGCGATGGGGCAGCCGTCAGCTGCGCGGGCGGACGACATTGTCAGGTGCGGTCTTCCCAATCGCCAGGGTCAGTCTTGAGAGTTCAGAGTTGGCTGCTTTCGCTCAAGCTGTTTGTGGGTAGGGTCACGTCGCCGAACACGTGAAACGTTGGCCAGACCCCTCTTGAGTGTTCCGTACACGATGATCATGGCAACACCCTGTTGTAGAATGCTCATCCGAATGGGCTGCTCCTTGGCCTGTGACTTCGGGAGGCTGGTTACACACCTCTGGCAATTGTAATGTGCTAATCCTGTTGTTCTCTTTTGCAGGTTCCCTGCTTCGGGCAATCCACAGGTCTTCACTGCTCAGAAGACACTTGTTGAAGCATGGACAATTGTTCGAGAGGGCTATTTCGATGAAAATTTTGGTGGGAGGGACTGGGAAGGCGAACTGCGGAAGCACATGACGAACGCTTACCATGCTGACAATGGGGACAGGGCATATTCCGAGATCGGCCAAATGCTTGCAGGGCTAGGCGATCCTTACACACGTGTCATACCCCCAGAGTAAGTGCACAACTCCATTGATTAATGTGGACAAAGTCATGAAAGGCAAAGCCTATTCAGTCTGTGTTGTTTCAATGTCCCGAGATCATAGTTTTGCACAACCATTGAGTGTGTGTCACTTGATATGTGAGCCCCTTGAGAGATGGGCAGAACAAGTGCAGATGTTGGTGTTGCTGTGTAGTATCCTCCGGCTGTTGTGTATATTCCGCTTCTTCTATATTCAAGAAAACACTGTGGAGTTAACCATGAAATTCCTGCTGAGGAAGGGATGCCCGCTGTGTTCCTTTGTCAGGAACAGAACCTTTACAACACAGCCGCTCTAAGTTTGGGACATTCTTGTGCATCTTGTGAAGACTAGCGTGAATGTCACAGTGCTGATCATGGCCTTGCAGGTGCCTGGCTTTTGTATTGTCCAGTGCACATATGGTACCAAAAATACTGCATTGCAGTTGAAGTTTAGAAGGTGCACCATTGATGTCACCATGCCTGATGCATCGCTCGCCCTGGTTTCATGCAGGGAGTATGCAGATTTTCGTGTGAGCTCTGATGGTGAGCTGCAAGGCGTTGGTTTGTTGATTGCCTTGGACCCTGAGAGTGGCAAGCTGGTGGTGCTGACACCCATTAAGGGGGGTCCAGCTGACAGGGCTGGAGTCCTGCCAGGGGACGAGGTAGGGAAGCTGTCAAATATATGTCAATCCCTCCTGTCGCCTGTGTAGCTGAGCTTGTGTGTGCGATGGTTGACACTCTATGCCATTCTTGTGCACCACACTGTCCTGAGACTTTGATCCTTGCAAGAACCTTGGATTGCAAGATTGCCAAATTCTTGCAAGGTGCTGACGGCCTTGTTCACAAGAAAGGCATGTGCATTCCAGTGTGTGCAGCTGTGCAGTGCACCTGTCCATGCGCGCAAGGGATGGTCTGAGAAATTGTGTGCGTTGAAGAATGCACACATAGCAGGAGAAGCTAGTGAGATACTGGGTTGTTGGCACATACCTGAAGTGTGTTCTTGTCTTGGTCTCTTGCCAAGCTGTAGAAAGTCAACTTCTGGCTGTGTCTGCAGCTGCTAAGTATCAACGGAGAATCCACCCAGGGCTGGGATGGTGCACGTGCTGCAAGCAAGATGCGCGGCACAAAGGGTTCGTTGGTGACGGTCCAGCTTGCTCGGCGAACAGACCAAATACCTGGTGTGCCAGGTATACCAGAGCCGGCCCCTGAGGTCCAGTTTAAGGAGCTCAAGATCAAGAGGTGAGATGCCAGTGCCCAAACAACATTAATGAAGCGAAAGGTAATCAGAGAGTTATGTTACACATGTAAAGGACTTGACATATGGCTGGGCGAGCTCTTCTGCTCTTGTGGGGTCTGTGTCCCATGCTTGGTATGTGGGCACCAAATGTGTCTCACACCCACTTTCTATTGAATGCTGAGCAAGTTCCTTCACCTATTCCTGTCAGATATAATGGAAGCACAGCTGCACAGCAGCACCAATCGTGGTGTTGCATGAACTGTTGCATACAAAGGCCATCGTCAAGAATGCATGGAATTGGCAAGGATGGAGTCACATCCTCATCACTGTTGTTGATGTGGTCACCAACAGTGGGAACATGTCTGTCAAGCAGCGATGAGTGGTGTTATTCCATTCTTGCATCTGTTTCTATGGCTTCTTGCCAGTGTCCTGGATGTATGATGCTGTTCATGACCCAGTGCACACGAAACAAGCTTGGAACATAGAGGCCACGAGAGCCAGACGGGTTCGCATAGCCCTATGCCCATTTCTTTGACGCGTATGTGTCCAGGCGAATGCGCATTCGTTGGCCACCTTAGCAAGGCGTTGATAGGAAAATTCAGAATCCAGCTGCAGTCAGCTGCTGAATGCAGCCGATAGTTCAGATCGACCAAGCCACAACAGAGACCACCTGCCTGGGTGTTAAGCCAAATAGCTGCATGACCTGCTTGTGGCTGGCATTTCACCTCTAGACTTGCACTTACCTGTGTGAGGCACGTGTCAAATCATCATGTTGCAGCTGACTGGTAGTTTGTGTGTTGAAATGCTGCAAGGCCAAGTCTGTGCCAACATCAACAAACTTGCCTTGGCGTGCCTGTTGAACTTGACACTGTACTGTGCACTGGTACTGTGCTTGGTCACCATGTTGTGTTGGCTCATACTTGGTGGCATGGGGACTGTGCAGCTGTGGGGACTGTATCGCTGAAAGAGAATGCACTGGTGACTTGCCGGAAAGTCACTTGACATGCTTGGCGATTCCAAGGCACAGGGGTGTCAGCCCTTGATCAGTAGTTGTTGCGTTGCAAGGGCCATGTGGAGCCATTGGGGTGAGAACTCACCAGCTGTTCTTCCTTGTGGACAGGGATGTTGTGGAATTGACCCCTGTATACGCGACGGCTGTGAAAGTGGATGACGCGACAGTCGGGTACATCAAGCTTGCGAGCCTCAGCAGCAAGGCAGCTGAGGACACCAGCAAGGCAATCAATGAATTGAAGGTGCGGCAGTGTCAACATATTTGCAAAGCCGTGATTGCGATCCCAGGCAATAGCTTCGGGCAAACGAACCACTGGACTGGTGCTTTAGGATCACAAGCATACAAAATTCTTGCCTGCTGCTGTTTGGCTCCGTGAATACCCCACATGGTGACACAGTTTCCTGTGCTGCCGTACAGGGCCAAGGTGTCGACGCCTTCGTGCTGGACCTGCGAAACAACCCAGGAGGGCTCGTCCAGGCTGGTCTGGACGTTGCCAGGCTGTGGCTAGACGGCGCTCCAACCATATTCGAGGTGTCGGGCCGGGGCACGGAGCCAACCAGCGAAGTGGCCCTGCCCCTTGGCAGCGCTGCAACAGACAGGCCCATGGCTGTGCTGGTGGACCGTGGTTCGGCCTCCGCCTCGGAGATCCTTGCTGGTGCGTTACATGACAACCACAGGGCTGTGGTCATTGGCGACAGGACTTATGGAAAGGGGAAGATTCAGACGGTGTTTGAGCTCCAGGACGGGTCTGCGCTGTTTCTGACCGTCGCAAAGTACCAGACGCCTGCCCACGCAGTTATTGATGCCGTGGGGATCAAGCCGGACATGGCATGCGCCAAGCTGGCTAAGGGCACTGGCGATGCTCCCAGGGCAATGCCCAATGGCCCAGAACTGGAGAAAGACAGCTGTTTCATGACTGCAGAGAAGCAGCTGCTGAAGGAGGTGCATCTGCAGCAGCACTGAGCTGCCCACAATTGGGCAATGGGTATTCTGGTTGGATTTTGTACGTGTGAGGGTGGCAAATGCCTATAGTTGAACGTGGCTGGCCCAGTAATTTAATTTCCTTGCGTCATGTCCTTTGATGAGTGCTGAGAGAATGGATGCGAATGGCATTGTGTAGTTGGGCATCAGGGACAACTGTGGAATGGAGAACTGGTTGTTTGGTGGGAGTTGGGGCTGACTGGTGCATTTGACGATTGCGATGTGTGCCATCGTACTGGCGGTGTAGATATCGTTTCATCACAGGTGGGGCAGCCCGTGCCACTGGCACACCTTAGCGCCAGGCGAGGGGTGAGGCGACATACCTGGTCGATGTGGGATGCCAGTGTGCGTGCAGCTGGTAGCACAATTGAGGAGAAAACTTTAGTGAGAGAATCAATTGGGGCTCAGCTTTGTTTGTACTTTAGTCGCCATAGGGGGGCATTATGACGTCAACCCCATGGGCGTCCCCCCCTTTGTACAACAGTCGATTGGGTGTGAGAACTGTATTGCTATTGTGCGCGAGGGGATTTATTGGTTGAGGCATGTTCGGGCCTTTGCTGATATTGATCTTTAGAAACTGCAGAGTCCTGGGAAGAAATTGAGTCCAGGAAGGCCAGCGGGCGACAGACATTGTTTATTTGTTGTTGCTTCTTTGTGCTACCGATTTGTGCAGGTAGTGTAGCCATGGAACGTCATCTGGGTATTATATGCTGTGGCTTACGTCAGGCACACATTCAGTGTAGTGGATGGAATTGGGGTGAGATCGTTGCTGTTTGTCTGTGTTGCCCATGGGACAAGTTGTAAGCTGTGCACTCTTAGCGTGGACGGCACCCATTGTACTCGTCGTTGCATGTCTGCCTTCTCCGCTCTGGAGTTCGCAAACCCTTCTTCTGCACACATTTCGATTTGTTGGTCAGAATTCAGCATTCTGAGGTGACCGTTCTGTCTTGGAGCAGCAGCTCGAGGAGTGCTTTTGAATGAGGGTCAGGTGCACTGGAGGCAAGACACGCGTGCCAGCGTAACGTGCCACCTATGAGAAGCGGACATCCGCAGCCTTCCACAGAGACCTTTTACTTTCTCAGGACCCGCGGGCTTGTAGGAAGCGGTCGCAGGCGTGGTCCCTTCAGATAGTGCAACTACAATTCCTTTGTTGCCAGTCCTCTACGAACACCTTTTCCGGGGGCTCAGTGCATGCAAATCCGTAGCATGAAGTACTGTTACATCGCGCATCGCTGCTCAAACTCTTGCATCAGTTTGACCCAGCGGCGTTTATCTTGCCCCTTGCGTTGGAGCCGCGTAGCAGATGAAGGAGATTTGCCCACAACCTTGACAGAGCACGTGTTGTCTGTCGTTGGACCTTGTGTAACGAGGCGGGCCTCGAGGCTCAGGCGGCCATGCCATCGTGTCTGTGATTGGCGCAGTTTTGGCCAGGGCAGCGTGACATTCAATCGCCTGACCGTCCATAGGTGAACCTGATTTGGTTTGGATCGATCCCCCATGTTCAACCCCCAGCCACTGTACATGCCAGTTGGCAGCGCCTTGTTGTGGCGCCTCCGCATTCCGCATTGTGTTATGAGAATGTAAAGTGATAAACCAATCGGGAAACAATGGAGTTGTGCGAGCCAGGCTCGAAGCATCATCAATTGGCCAGCTTGTTCGCTGCTGAAGCATCAATACTGTGGTGAATGCGACACAGACAAGCATCCCAGTGGCCAAAGTATCTCTTATCTACAGCCTCTGGCCTCGCTCCCTTGAAACTTTGCCCCTCGAATGTCATGGTGTCGTGCGCCGATGCCCATGGCGGGATTCATCCATCTTCACTTCTCAGCACCTCTCCGTATTGCTGGCTTGGGACAAATGAAAAGCCCAAGTCAAAAAAGCCGGCGCCGATCGATTTCTTTCCACACTCCAAAATATAACATCACATTTCAGTGTCAAGGTGCCTCCCCCGTCCTATCCCAGGATATGTGGGCCTTGTCCCACCGAGCAAGAGAATGCAAGAGCGTGGAGGACATTGCGTCCGCCAACCCTTGAAGCTGCATGGACGCCACCTGGACCTGTGTTTTCTCTTAAAGCAAGCCAATCCATGCATCTCTGCCACGGAAGTCAGTTGGCAAGAAAATACAGCCAGGTTTGGCTCATTCCGCCTTCCTTCCTGGACACTTCATTTGGAACACTGTCGACCAACAGTCTACCGCGGGCGTCACGACCGCGCCCCGCGAGCCACACTCATCTGGGTGGGTGTTGTCCTCGGACCCAAAATTGGATTGTGCGCCTGACCGCAGCAAGCGTGACAAATTGCCTTACACCCTCTGAAAAGCGTGCTCCCTCTTGTGGATGGGAAGGACTTCAACTCGTGCACCTTTCGAAAACTACAGCACTTCGCCATCCTCCGTCAAGGGTAACGCAAAACAACATGGCGGACTAAATGAAGGCCAGGTGGCAAGGAAGGGTTCACTTATTCATGGGTACTTGTCCCTCAACCGGTTCAAGCTTGGATGCAAACTGCGTGCTGAATTGAGCGAGGTCTGATTTTCTAAACAGGACGTTGGATTCGGTGGCATGGCGCATGGCTTGAAGCACCACGATTTGTTGTTCGACGAAAGCCATAAGTACACATACAGGGCTAACCAGCACTATCATAGTGCTGGTCATAATCATACATAATGTATCGAAGTGTACAGACGGCGCAGCATCTCGTGGGGATTGTTGCTGCTGGCACCAAATCTGGGCGAGGGTTTTTAACGTTCTGCACTATCCAGTAAGTATCTCTAAGCAACGTATCCAAGGAACCAGCTGAATAACATGCACGACAGCTATCATAAAAACACCGCACGTGCGTCATTAATTAGCATCGAACGTGAGCGATTTCATAGGGAAGTGGATGGCCAACGTTGTATGGGCAAATCGAATAGTCCTAAGCTGCTTTCTCGCCTATTAGATATCAACACATCTCCTCTTAGGACACCTCCAATATTCAGGGCGTCACCGCGCAATTTTTTATGGATTTTGCCATATCGTGATCTGGACTGCGGTGTGCGGCCGAATGTGAAGGGAATCTGGTGCATCTCTCGCCATGGAATGGAGGTTCCGAAAGTTAGATTGCAGCGAATGCCTTTTATGGCTTGCGCTGTTTTTCTGGTGATGAAATGGCACTAAATCAGGCAAGAGCTCCATTATGATCAATGTGCAGGGATGCGGAGTTAAGATGGGTACCGGCAACGAGCTGTGCCCACACTGGAGGACCGCATTTCACTGCCAATAAATTGCACCGAATGCGAACTCTAGCTTGCTCTGACTGAACATTTGCCTCTCCATTTAATTTGACGGACACTTTTCAACGGAGCTGCCCAAATTAGGCATCAAAACCGCCTAAAAACTGTCCCTTCGGCGGCTATTCTATCCAAAACCATGGCTCCCTTCCGCGAATCGGTGCGCACGCTCTGCGCGCCCACGCCGCTTCTTCTGGCATTGATGCTTGCGGCCTTTCTTCTGCTCCCTGCGGCTGCGGTGGGCTCTGACCAGCTTGAGCCGCGACCCAAAGGGAGAGCTCTCAGGACGCCCTTTGGGCTGCCCTTCTGCGCCATCCACAAGGAGGCGCACAACTGTAAACTAGTTGAGTATATAGGGTACGGCCCCGCTGGAAAGAGGTCGGAACTGTTTTCGTCGGACACTTTCGGGCAAAATGCTTTCAACGACTACTGGGGGAGGGGCGTGGGCGCGTACATGATATTCTCCGGCGTAGAAACGGAAGAAGATTACGAGAATTTCACCACCAGCCGAACGTGGACAGCCCCGGAGAACGAGGACTTTTATGACTGGGGAGATCCGCGGCAAGGGTGGAGGGTCGCGAGCACGTCCGAGGCCTCACCGAGCGAGGAGAAAGGTGTGGGAAGGCCTCGGCATAGCTGTCTTAGAAGGCTTTCCGTGAACAAAGACGCTAATTCTGTCGCCCGGGATAGGAACCTCGACGCTGCATCCTTTATCTGATGTATAACTTCAGCTGCTTCAATAAAAATAATCGAGCCTCGTCATCATTGCCAGCCACAAGCCACGCTTCTGTACCACGCGTCTCGTCCATCGATTCTTTGGGCACTAAAAAAAGTAAGGCCCGTTCCGGGGACGTTGGCTATAAGGATTGTTCCTCACCTCTCTGCTGCTTGAGTCCCTGTGAATAGAGCTGGGCCGGCTTACTCAATATTCGCTAGAATTGTGGAGCGCTTGACATTCCGTGCGCGTTGCAGATGCTTACGAAAATGGGTGGCGTTACAACCACTTGCGTATTGTGCCGGTCACAGCCACGAGCGTCGCTTCGCCGATGCGTCAAAATCGCGGTCAAGCAGTGCTGCCGTCCGCTGGTGCCGGCTGCCACATTGCGAACGACAGCGGGCCCTGCGGCAATCGCCAAGGCTCACTCTCCAACTGCTGCTCGATCATCTCTCGCGTTCTGAAGAGAGCAAATGTCAGCGCGGGGTGTGACTTGTTTACCGTTGGCGGCATTTGTCCGCACGCTGAAGCCGTTTAACTAAGCGACAATAATGCTTCTGTTGCCGCTCTTGCTGCTTTTGGCGATGCTCTGCGTCCGCAGTGCAACCTCTTACGGCTATTCGCTTTGTGATACAATAGGAAGCGCGCCGCACGCTGTGACACCCTGGCCAACCGCGATTGCCAAGAGCTTGAGAACATATTCCCTTGTACTGGTTGACCGTAACTTCATTGGCTGTGGCAACTACGGTCGTACGGTTTCTTGAAGAGGGAGCCGCAACGATGTGCTCCTGCAACGCGACGCTGCCTGCCCTCATATCCACAAGCATATTGTATCAAGCGTCCGGCAGTTCCTTGGTTATTGCAATCGATATTGTCGCGTGCGCATGTGGCGCTGACCTTGGAGAAAATTTAATTACGATTCTGCCTCCCGATAGTGCCTTTTCTGCCCCTGTGTTGCACCCTTTGCGGTACTGCCTTCGATGCCGAGATATGCA